GTCTTCTTCAATGAAATCTGCGAATTCATCAATACGATGGTCTGGGCGTGCGAAAGATCGCTCATAATCGTGTGGCGCATCTTGTTCTTCGTCATCAGAGAAGATTTGGTCCAGGCCTCGCTCTCGATCCTGCTCGTTGTCTTCTCGGTGGCCACGCTTAAGACGCTTAAACTTTGGCTGCATAAAAATTAGCTCAGTAGGCTGATATGTGCGAATGTAACAAACCTGCTGTGTTGTCTTTCTCTCCCATTCTGGATTTGCTTCTCCAATGAGATCCAAATCTTCGTCATCCAAACCCTCTTCTTCACGCTGCTCTCTGCGGCGCTTCTTTTCTCTGCGGCGACGTCTATTTCTCGCATCATCATCGTCCTCTTCATCTTCATCTACGATGAAGCCTTCTCGAATCTGCTAACGTGTCAGTAACAATGCGCAAATGGAAATTTGGAAGGAGAGCTATGTACTGCACGAGCTGCCTCCTCATCGTCATCATCTTCTTCTTCACTTGAATCATCTTCCAAGCCTCCATTTTGTCTTCGGGGTCCCGCAGAGCGAGCTTCACCAGTTTCCTCGTCGAATTCCTCATCGTTCTCCTCTTCATCAACCTCAACGTCACCGTCAATCAGATCGCGCATATTCATGATTGCGGTGTTCTTTGCTGGGTTTCTTGGTAATTGTTAAGGAAAATATCGAAGGCTATGAGGTCACAATTGCTGCATACAAGGCGATTGTGATAATTTCATGTAAGGAAATTGTAGTTGAAAGCTGAAAATAACCTGAAAGAACCGCCTTTTGACAACTTTTTGGCAGCCTTTTAGTTCTCGCGACTTGGGAGTTTATTGATTGTGGCTGGTGATAGATAGCCTCATATGTGAGGCTTAGATACCATATCTATCCTTCCCTGGTCATGTTTTAGCCACATGAGCCACACTGGAAGTGAATGGCCAGATCCGCGCGACAACTATCACTTGTGCCAGAACTACAGTTATTAACGGCCATGAGCTTTTGGGAAAACAGATGTTAGCATCAGGATTGGTATACCTAGATATGGTCGTCTCGGCGACAGGTGAATATTGCAATTGCAGAGTCTCAATCATTCCCTCAAGAAGTGGTGAGCTCTAGCTAAGAGGTAAACTCGCTCCTCTCGCCCAATCCAGATATAAAATCAATATCACAAATCCTTGTTGCACATATGTCTGGTGCATCTCTAACCCAAACCGAAAGCTGCCTACCTGGTATCGATGTACAATCTATGCACAAGAAGGAGCAGAGGAAACGGACTATCTGATGGCTTCAGGTACCTAGCAGGTGCAACAGATAGATACCCAGTCGTACCAGAGTTCCAATAGAACTAAAACATCTTCTTGAAGAAGTAGGTATACATTACCCATCACAACCTATCTGGATACAACCATTTGTTTGGTTTGGCAAATGGATCTCCATTTACATGACACAACAATAGCTACTATCTACTGGGTATATCTCCCATTGACTTGTGTGAAATTAACGACCAGTGGGGTCATGTAGTAAGTACTCTGTATACACACAGCACAGAGCGCTTCATGCTTCAAATCTCCTGGTCTCCAACGTTGGCCCCCAAAGCTGTCTTCACACTCTCATTCGTTCAACCGATAAACGCGCCCGCCAGATAATGCCCAATGCAAACTTCTCTGTTAGAAACTTAAATTGATGAGACAAGCACGAACGAATAGCTTCAACAGGTACGAAAGTGCACCGATATGACATGAGCAATAATATTGTAAATATTGAATTATATACCTGCCTAGCTAGATAGTACGTATTGAAACGGCCTATTAGATGAAATATCAACCCCTCTCTGAGAAGATTTTGCCCAATACAATACAATCACAACCATTAAGGGGTAAAGACATTTTCCATTGATTTTTATCACCAACTTGGGTACTTTTTCATTGTTCCATTTCCTAAACAATATTTCCCGATTGAATTTCTCTTCAACCGCGCCTCCACGTTCTTATTACAGTAGTAGCTGCCATAGCGCCAAACCCAAACGACTGTCCCGCTTTCACTTTGTCCCTCCACCAAATCCCATAATCCTCGACGACAAGTGAACTATCTACTTTATTCGATCTCCTGATTATTTCGTCTACTTTGAATAATCATCCATAATAGGGGCTGAAGGAATATCTACCAAACACCTGTTCACTCACTCATTATCGTTGCTTTCGATTTCTTGCTCATACGCTCGTGCAGACAGCACCTTTTTCAAGCGCCAACTGGGAAAACCGTCCCCAGAACTTTGCGCGATTCTGAGAATTCATTTCATCTCGACATCAGTCAATACTTCTAGCTTCTAGGCCATCATTACAAAATGTCAGACGGTATTGGTTCGGTGCGCACATTGAAGAGAAAGAATGTGAAAGGTCTAGCATTGAATGCACCCCCACCTCGTGCTGCGGCACCATCCGAGAGTGATATACAGATTCCTGGTGGAGCTAGCAGTGAAAGTAGCAGACAGACCGCACAACTAGAGATTGGAATCGAATACAAGTTGGACTTGAAGAGGGAGGATTTAGAAGTTCTGAAAGACCTCGGCCATGGAAATGGAGGAACTGTCAGCAAAGTCAGACATATGGCTACAGGCACGGTCATGGCGAGAAAGGTATGCTGGCACAAACTCTCGAGGACTCAAATTGTAAACAATCGCTTATGCAAACACAGGTTATACATGTCGAAGCCAAAAAGGAAATGCGTCGTCGAATCGTTCGAGAATTACAAATTATGTACGACTGTAATTCGGAATACATCGTCAACTTTTATGGTGCATTTTTGAGCGATAACAACGATGTCATCATGTGTATGGAATATATGGATGTTGGGTATGGTTACTAGTAGAAAACTCCATGACTAGGATGCTGAAGCTAACTTCTTGTCAGATCTTTGGATAGAATCTCGACACATTTCGGTCCTGTTCGAGTCGATGTACTTGGAAAAATCGCAGAAGCTACCCTCGGAGGTCTCACATATCTTTACATCAAACATCATATCATGCATCGAGATATTAAGCCATCCAATATCCTGGTGAACTCGAAGGGTCAGATTAAGCTGTGTGATTTCGGTGTTTCAGGAGAATTGGTCAATTCAGTCGCAGACACCTTCGTTGGAACATCTACATATATGGCCCCAGAGAGAATTCAAGGACAAAAATACACTGTAAAGTCTGATGTGTGGAGTTTTGGTCTCGCTATTATGGAGCTCGCAATTGGAAAGTTTCCATTCGATGCTAGTGAGCACTTATCTGATGGAGATGGAGCTCCATCGGGCATCCTTGACCTTCTTCAACAAATTGTTTATGAGCCTGCGCCAAGGCTACCCAAGAGCGAAGCTTTCCCTCAAATTCTTGAAGACATGATCCAGAAATGCATGTCTAAGACTCCAGAAGAGAGGCCAACCCCTCAAGAGCTTTATGTGAGTTGCATTTCCTAGCATCAATGTTGAGGTTCTATATACTAATGATTAATAGGAACGTGAGCCTTTCGTCCAAGCTGCCAAGCGAACCCCCGTGGATCTTCGTGAGTGGGCCGTCAGTATGTTAGAAAGAGACAACCGCAAGTCACATCTTGCACCTCAATTATCACCAGCTAGTAGAGATGTCCTACGTGGCGATGATTCACCTAATGCTTCGCAAACGCCTACATCAGGAGATATCCCCATTAAAAATGCCGATCCACGATCCTCGGTAACCTCTCCGCAATACAACGAAAACCATAACCCAAGATCTCGCTCTCCTACTAAGAATGGTAGTATTTCAGGTCGAGGAGGTGTAGCTTTCCATCCTGGTCTACCTATAAGAGGCAGCACCACCAACTCGATACCAAAACTTGCAGCACTGAACGCACCTGACCCACATGAGGGCAATGGTCCCTCTAGCGCAAATACACCCAATTTTACCACCACAACCCTTCCAATGCGTCCAGCCCCAGCAGGTCCCTTACCACCGCCACCCAGAAAGCATTCCGAAGATAACAGCCATAAAGAAAGCCGACGTCAGGCAACGTTTGGCAATGGCCTATACGGCTCAGGCTATGCAGCCCAGGGTTCATAATTCTAATCTCATCATAATGCATTGATATATTTGCACAATTTTCTCATATCATTATGGAGCGAAGAGCGTCTTTTCGGAGTGTCGCATTTCTCAAATGTGCAGCAAATTGATACAACAAGATTCTGGCCGGATCCAGCAAGCAGATACGTCGCCAAATCAGACATATATCTTGTCTATGGATGTGGAAAATCTTCTCTATAGCAAGTAGGGATTTGTTAATGTAGTGTAGGTAGCTTGCTTTGTCTTCCGCGTGTTTAAATAGTAGGGGCAATGTAGAGAGGAAGGGAGGAAGCGATGCATGAAATTACAAAAGAAAGCGAAACATAGGAATAGGAATATAGTTAAATACTGTGGTACACAGGCTCTTGGGACGTTGTTACAAAGCGTTTTATCATATCACTTGGAAGAATCTACTTTTTATCTGTATCTGGCTTGGCCTTATTTGATAATGCGTGCTTGATAGCGAGGAGCTGATAAACCTAGTTTGATGCTTGAGACCTTGGAAGTAAGACGAGCTTAATTGATATGAATAGGTAGGTACCTAGTTGTTTTGATCAAAAGTATTTACATAATTAGTTGTCCTGTGGTTGGTTGTAGATGTGGTTTTACTGATAGTGGACATGTCTCATATGATGACAATGATTCGATAGCAATCACCCTGTATACTTTTAACATTAGCATCCTACAGACGTAGATGGGTGAGCGTAAGACTCGCGATACCATCAATATTACAATACAGTGACTTGAAAGCTGTGCAATACGCCATGAAAGGAATCAGAGTGATGGTGAAGCGCTAGTAATATATACGTGGGCGAGGTGGGGTTCCTGACCCCACTTACCCCCGCCACTTCTATCTTTGGCCGATGTCGATATACCCATCCTTGATCTCACAGATTTTTGGTGTAAGACCTTATATACGATGAGTATTCATTCTAAGCTTTTCTCATCATTAGTTAGAATAGCGCCTAAATTTGTTGTTGGAAGAAGATTTTGTTCTGTGAGGAATCTTGGAACGGAGACGCGGGGTAAAGGTTTTTTGAGCATAGGTGCGAGGGTTGATAATAAAAGATCTTTCGGTATGACGACACGGGTATTGGATGGAGTTGGAGGGGGGGAAGGGGAATGGGAAGGAAAGAGAGTGAGAAAATTTGCTCCTTTGGGGGGTGAGGGGATGAGTAGGGAGGGGGAGGAGGGTGTAAGAAAGTTGAGAGGAATCATTTTTGATATGGATGGGACTTTGTGGTGAGTTTTTCCTTTCTTACACTGGGTTTTTTGTTTGATATTTGAGGCTCTGGGGTAGAGGATATTTCTGGTTGAAAGACTGCTTTTTTGAAAAGGGGGAAAGATGGGGGAGATCAACTTTTGCTCTTGTTTGAAGTTTCAAAATGAGTGAAATTGGATAGGAGATGATGATTTCTTTTGTTTTCACCTCTGTAGGGTGCTTCTCTTGTTGGTATTGGTGTCTACAGTTCGGAAAATAATTGGATAGAAGATTGAAATTTAGAAAGGCAGTTTGCTGGGTAACAAGACTTGATATCTTTATCAATGTGTTGCAAAATTGCCATTTCACCAATGAGTAGTCACTCATGATGTTTGTTGACACTGTCCAATGTCAGAATCGAGAATAGAGGTATTCACTTAGAATAGCACTCTCACTCACATGCTTCTCGTATATTCATACTCATCCATCAAACTGTTCACCTTTTTTTCAAATGTTACGGTGCTAATTTCTTCAACAGTGAACCTCAGACCTATATGTATGTACCAGATAACAAGCTCTCCTTCGTATTTCACCATACTAAAGAGCTAAACCATCCCTCCATTCTTGTTTGTTCCTAATCCCACCATAGGTTCGGCCAGATGCGTAGTGCTCTAGGAATAGACAAGTCTATCGATATCCTAGACCACATCTATTCTCTCCCTGTATCCGACCAAGAAGCGGCACATGAAAAAATCCGAGCCATAGAACGGGAAGCAATGTTAACTCAAGTTCCTCAACCCGGTATTTCTCCTCCCCTCTCCTCCACCAACATTCTAAAATACTAATCAACCCCCCAATCCCAGGCCTCCAAACCCTCTTCACCTACCTCTCCACCCTTACTCCCACCCTCCCTCTCGCAATCCTCACCCGCAACCATCCACCCCCCGTCCACCATCTCCTCACAACCCACCTCCCCAAACCCCCTTCTCCCCCATCATCACCCGCGAATTCCGACCTCCGAAGCCTCATCCCGCTGGAATTCTCCACATCGCAAAAGAATGGAATGTGGATCCCAAAGATACGATTATGGTGGGCGATTCGATCGATGATATGAAAGCTGGGTTTGCAGCCGGAGCGGCAACGGTTTTGTTGGGGAATAGTGTTAATGAGGAGTTGTGGGAACATGAGTGTACGGATTTAGTGGTGAAGAGGTTGGATGAGTTGGTGGAGGTGTTGAAGGGGGGTTTGTGGGGAGGGTGGAACGGTAGATGAGAATGCTGGAAAGGTAGTTTGGGTGTTGGAATAGGAGGGAGATTTTACATAAGTATCATCATGGTAGATTTGTAAACCGGAGTCTCCATTCGAAATACGCATAGAAGAATTTTGATTGAGCTTTTCACAGGAATTTCCCTCTTACTTTTGTTCAAAGATGCAATTGAATAAGTTCGAAGGAATTTTCGCTTCTTCACATTCAAACATATACGTCATGTATGGAGGTGTCTTAGAACGTGAAATAAAAACTCTCAAAACTCGAAGTTCCACTCTGCATCGACCAATCTCTTATACTAAACATCTCAACCCCTAAATACATCACCAATTCTCACTCTATCCTTGATTCCTACCCCTATTCATAAGCACCACTCCCCTTCTCATCCGCAGCCAACGCTGTCAAATTCGTATTCCCCGTCTTAATCAACGTCTTTTCCTTCGGAATTCCCTCCACAACCTCCTCACTTAACCCCAAGGTATCCATCACCACCTGTTTTGGCGTCAACGCCAACCATTGCGCTACACTAATATCGCTAAAGACAGGTTGTTGCAACACTTCTAGAAACACTACGTCTTCCGTTCCCGTGTTTTCAATATAGTGACTGTTACTCGCGGGTATATATCCCACATCTCCAGCCGTGTAATCGAAGGTTCGGGAACTGCTGGGAGCGGCATAGATGGTGATGCGTGCGGATCCGGAGAGGAAGTAATTCCACTCGTCGGATGTGAGATGCCAGTGCATTTCGCGCATGGCACCGGGTTGGATGGTGACGAGGGCAGCTGCAAAGTTGGAGGCGATGGGGAAGGTAGTTGTGTCGATTATTTTTACGGAACCGCCGGGGACGGTGTAGGGAGCTTGTTGTGAGAAGTGGTAGGTGTAGGAATCTTTTTGGGGAAGGGGACCGGCAGCACTGGTTTGATTTTGAGTGGAAATGTTGGCGGGGGCGGGGGTGCCGTTGAAGATGTATAGTTGATCTGAGGGGAGATTGTCAAAGGAGGAGACCGGAGTCTGGAAATTTTTGGAAAGCACAGATTTGGGATTGCGAAGAAACATTTCGGAGACGAGGACTAGATTGGGGGTTAGTTATTGCTATTTTATAAGTGCTCAGGTGCATCTAAGGACCTGAGACGGTTTCAAATGGAAAGTTGAATCTCTCCAGATTGGCTCGGATATCGAAAAGCGGGACCTTAAAAAGAAATGATTATACTTACAAGTGCCATCTTCCGAAAAGTCTCCCTCGTCGAAAATCAATAGGAATTCACAACCCTCGTCCAGCGCTTGAATGGAATGTGGAACCCCAGCTGGAAAGAACCATACGTCCCCTGCGCTGATATCATCGATGAAGCTTTCACCCTTCTCGTTGACAGCAGATAATCTTACGCTTCCTTTCAGCATCAACGACCACTCATTTGCTGTGTGCCAATGCAACTCTCGGTATGCCCCTGGTGCGAGACGCATATCAACACCAGCCATTTCAGTCGCGGAAGGTAGTTGACCAGTGTTTTGCTGTCTGGCCCATCCTGATTTCTTACCACTGCCTAACCTATTACGAGATAAACTCATTGGCCATTGTGCTTGTGGTACATCACCACTGTCTGTTCCTGGCGGAGCAAAAAGATCAGGATTTAACTTCTGATATTCGTAAGTTTCTACAATAATGTTAGATTTGCATCGATTTCATGGTGCTTCTTTCAACTCACGTGGTCCAGGGTCTGTTTGGCCTGTTGACCCTCGAATAGGTTGTGCATTTGGAACGCTATTGAAATCCAAATATAAACCTAGATCTGCATCTGCCTCCTGACCATTGACCATTGGCGCGTTCGAAACGATGGCAGAATCTCCTCCAGACACAGGAGATGGTTTTGCAGCTTCGCCTAGTAATGATTCATCGCCATAGAGTGATCCGGTGGCGGCAGTAACTGTAGGTACCGGTGCTGATACACCACCGACAGCTACTGACTGTTCGCCATAGCTCAACTGAGGCCTAGGTGCAGGAGCTGAAAGAACTACTGGAAGAAGTCCAGCCGCCACAATTGAACCAAGGAGGCGAGTTATTGGATGCATTGTGAACAGATGTTTTATTGTCCTCTGTCTGCTCAGAAGGAAGACGAAGAGATGTTCTCTGTATTTATATATTTCTTGAAAGTAACAATGAGATCAACTTCGTCATATGAGGATGCTACAAATATCTACCAACATGAGCCATGGCCAAATTGTCAGAAACATTATAGGTAGCTAGTTCACAGGGTGCATGGGAACGGTAGCATCTACACCAGTCAACTTCCGGAATCCCGATGAGGAAACCTGCAGAGAAGCATTTCGTATGCACTCCAAGTACATATGAAGATTAACTAATCAATCAATGGCGTTGAGGTGTGGTCATATTTACCCGTCTCTAGTGCGTTAGTCGTAAAAATACGCCGATTACCTTGGCAGTACCAAGAAAGCATGACAGTACATAAATGATAAATCTCGAGAGGCTTTCACGTGAAATCCAGAAGGGAGTAGGAAATCTTCAGAAGTTTCATCTGCCGAACCGCCACTAGACGCTATAGATTTCCGGTTAATCTCTTAGTTCTAGTAGTGATGAATCATGATCACATATATCTAGTTTCTGTCCAAACATCCGACTAGAAGAACGCTTGCTCGACTGTTCCCCACGAATACCACAGGGTTACTAAGACTAAGAAAGTTAAGCTTTCAGTGCCGGGCTACCGCAGTGCCGATCAGTAAAATTCATAACACTCGAAGCATGAAGATAAAAACGATGAAGATCATCACTCGGGGATATTCCGTTAATTTCGGGATGAAGAAGAAATGTTGTGTATACACTGTATACGATATATGCGAGATGCAGTATGCCTCGCTGACCTCAATACCTTCCTACAATGGTAACAGCTTCGTAATGAGTACCCCGCGAATATGACGACCAGGACCAGTGCAGGTACGAAAGCGTATAGAGAAGCAATCTGATTACGCTGCTTAAAAAACGTGGAGAGTAATCGCCTGCAGGACTTGGCATTCTTGAGTCGGGTTGTTGGTTTCACAAGCTTTGATTATGATTAGAAAGAGTTCTAGGAAGAATCAACGAAACTACACGGAGTACCAAATCGCGAACTACTTACTGGGCTCCCGATGTAAAGGTCATTCGCTTCAGAGTTATCTCCAAGATCTATCAGTGTTGCCAATATTCATGGTACCCGAGGGAGGATTACGCGTAACGAAGAGATTGCTATAAGTATACTTTGAACCTATTCGTTGAGAGATTTACGATTGAAAGAAACATGGTGTAACTGATAGGAGAGTTGTTGAAGAAATTCGCGTATCATGCCAAGGATTCATCCACCTGATCAACGTGCCCATCAATTTTATGCATGCACGATGCACAATGCTGGGATAACCTCATATTTACCCGTTTGGACAAACGTCGTAATTCATGTTATGACGACTACATTTGTTCTTGGGCAATCGAACCGCAATAAATTGAACGTTGCACGACAACTACAAGATCACTTCCCAAATGTATTATGACGATTCAATGCAAGATGAGTCCGAAATCCCAAGCTTCTTCCGAGCTTCAAGGCCTGACATTCCGAGATCTTTTTCTGACAGAATTCTTATTGTGTTAAAATCCACAACACTATCGTATGAACTTGAGGGTATCTTGCAATCCAATCCAACTCCAGTGGCCGAGATGAATCAGGCCTCTCCCATTAACTCCACCACCATAAATTCATCAAATATACTTTGCACTTCCTCTAAAACTAGTCCAATACACTTCTAACCTCTTCTTCATAATTGGCAGCTTCGTCGAGTACTGGTGCAATACTAGGGTTTTCGCGCCCCCTCCAATTCTTACGTCCCTGCAAATCTTTCGATCCGTCTGGCTTGCCATTCTTCATTCTCTCTACTTTGCGAATGGCATCTTCTAAGCCCCTAAATTCAATCGTATTAGTCCGTTGTTCTCATAATCCAAATCTACCTACCTGGGTCCCGATGCCTTGGTGACGTAGCCTTGTCTTTCCAGCTCATCTGCTAACTCTACTTGATGATTATCGAGGAGTGAAGTATTGGGCACTACGATGAGGGGTACGTCAATTCGGAGTGCATCCAGAATTGTTCCCGAACCTATAGCATCTCAACATCAGTCACTTTTCCAATGTAACGTAGTCGTTTGAGAATCTACTAACCTGCGTGTGAAATCACTACACCTTCTGAACTCTCGCCTGTGCCATAAAATCCTCCCCTTTTACATTGTCGCATTTCGTGCCCTAAACCGTTACGGTCAAAATCGAACACTTCGATCTCGAGTCCAGATCCCTTTCCCACTGGTATGTTGTTTTTCCAGTACTCAGCATCGGGTCCAGCTTGTACCCTTAGTTTCGTGTATCCTTCCTGAGCCAGTGCCTGTAAAGTATGTAATGCGAACACTTCCTCGATGAGCTCTTTAAAAGTCGCAGTCGCGCCGACTGTAACGAAAGCGACCTTTGGCGGTGCGCCTCCTGGAGCTAACTCCATGACTGGATGACGGGAATAACAATGAGCTAATGGATTGAGCTCCCTGTTAAGTCTGGATTTTTGCCAATACAATTAAAAGTAATTTACTGGATATTGGACATTTCTGTTCTAATAATCATGACTCCCGGATTAATTGATTGATCTGCTTCGGTGCTTGGAGATTATCCGAAGTACGATCTAGGTGGGATGATAAACCACTAGTCTTTGATAGGCTAGAGCCAAATTGTTTATTTCGGGACGATTTCCATCTGGAGATTCAACATTTAGAAGAATCATCCCCAATCACCACAATGGCCACGGCCTTACAAAGTCTGCGTATGACAGCGCGATGCTGCTCATGCAGAAATATCACCTCTAGGTACACCAATAAGTCAATCGCCCAACGGAGGTTATTTTCAATCACATCAAGACAATATAAAATCGATCCGAAATTTAAGGAACTCCAGGAAAACGAACCAGACGAGGATGAATTCATGGAAGAGATTGACGAACTGTTTGAAAATGCGGGTGCTCGACATGCAAATAATCTACCATCTTATGGATTTGACGAGGGTGTGAAGAAGAAGTTGAAGCCTACCTTTCTAAATATGGGAGATCCAGAACCGTTTGATGAGGACGACAGAGAGGATGATCACGATGATATCACGACTTTGGCGCATATGGAATTGGAACAGGTTAGAGAGATTAGACATTATAATAGGTTGGCAGCTTGGGAAATGCCAATGTTGAGCAGTGAGTTCATTTCACATTCACATGAAGGAACAAACCAGGAACATAATTTTTATCTAACGAGTAATATATAGAATTGGCAAAACCATTCGTACCGCCTTCAGCTGAAACTCCTTTACGATTCAGATACACTTCATACATGGGCGAGCAACATCCAGCAGAGAAGAAAGTCGTTATGGAATTTTGTCCTGCAGATATGCCAGGATTAACAGAAGTCCAAACGGACAAGCTTAGAAAATTGGTTGGGCCAAGACTCAACCCAGAAACGGACATTGTCAAGATGAGTTGTGAAATGTACCCATCACAGGCCCAAAACAAGAGATATCTTGGTGATATGGTGGATTCATTATTGGCAGAAGCAAAGGTATGTGATGTAATATTGTTGAGATGCTCAGGAACTAATATAAACAGACTGGCGATACTTTCGAAGATATTCCATTAGACACACGCCATCACGTTTTCAAAGTGAAGCCCAGATTCCCTGTAGAATGGAGATTAACAAAAGAGAGGAAGCAAGAACTGGCAGACTATCGCCAAAAGATGGTGGAGACAGACTTGAATCGAGAACACATTGGTCAACTTGTGGATGGAGTTGAAACAATTCGACACAGACTGGCTAATCCAATAGCTAAAGAACCGGTTCCTGAAACTGTTGCAGCTGGCGGAAGGATAATCGGGAACAAAAAGGTTGGTGTCAAGAGGATAGTATAAAAGTTACTGCAAAATATGTAAGATATTGTATGTACAATTCAAGCCATCTAATAAATTGGAGGGGCTACTCTAGTTGATTTTGACATGTAGGGGATAAAGCAAGTGATACCAACGGTTTATAGCCTAATGTAGGCGTCGTCCGTACATCGGGTCGAACAATTTGTATTTCCGACTCGGAGCAATTGTAAAATATTAAAATGTGATATATACGGAAGTAGAATGTTTTCCGAGCTGCATAGCACATGTGAAATTATAGATACAGTTGTAAGACATTGTATTGCCCCGACCCCGCTGATCTTTACGGCCGGATAAGGCAACCTGCCTCGGTTTAGATACCTAATGGAGAGAAGCACCAAGAGCTTCGAACTATAACAATTAGCCACTTGGTCAACTTGCTTCTATTTTATAATTGCTCTCCATAACTTTGAAATCAATCAGAAATTTGGATTATCATCAAACATTTGAGTTCTTCAACAGTTCTTCAATCAAGGTCGACCATAAAAATACTCTCGCAGGGTCCTTGGTCATAGAATAAACAATGTCGTCTATTAAGATAGCTCCATTCGAGCCTAGCTCACTCGAATCCATTCCCACCACAGTTAAGCTCCTACGAACTACCTTTCGTTCACAAAAAACGAAACCACTTGAATACCGTCTGAAGCAACTTCGCAAGCTCTACTGGGCCATTGTCGATAATAGTGATGCTCTTATCGAAGCAGAGAAGAGCGATCTCGGAAAACCCGCTTTCGAAACTGTTCTTACGGAAACAGAATGGATGAAGAATGATATTGTATTTGTCTGCAAGAACTTAAAGAAATGGATGAAGGACGAAGCTGCTCCAGATATGGCCCTCCAAAATACCCTATTTAGCCCTAGGATTCGCAAGGAACCTTTGGGCACGGCTTTGGTCATCGGTGCATTCAACTTCCCAGTTCAATTGGCTTTGGGTCCATTTGTTGGAGCTATCGCTGCAGGGTGTACAGCTGTGTTAAAGCCCTCTGAGCAGTCACCTAAGACTGCTATGATTTTGAAGAAGATTGTTGAAGAAAGTCTCGATCCAGAGGCATACACGGTGGTCAATGGAGCTGTTCCCGAGACGACAGCTCTGTTGAACGAGAAATGGGATAAAATCTTCTATACCGGCGGCGAAACAGTGGGAACCATTATTGCGAAGAAGGCTGCGGAAACCTTGACACCAGTTGCTTTGGAGCTTGGTGGTAGAAACCCAGCTATCATATCAAAGAATGCGGATCCTAATCTCGCGGCCAGAAGATTATTATGGGGTAAGATTCTTAATGCTGGACAGGTTTGCATTGGCCAAAACTATGTCATGGTAGAAAAGGAAATTCTGGATGCTTTTATCGAGCAACTTGGAATTGCCTATAAAGAATTCTTTCCAAATGGCGCCAAAGCAAGTCCCGATTATGGCCGAATTGTCAACAACAGACAATTTTTACGAATCAAAAAGATGCTTGATAACACTGGCGGAAAGATCCTGCTTGGCGGGGAATTGGATGAAGCCGAAAATTTCATCGCGCCAACTGTGGTTTTGGTTGACAGTCCAAACGATTCAATGTTGGTGGATGAATCTTTCGGTCCATTGATTCCTATTCTACCAGTCGATAGTCTTGATGAAGCTATCAATATCGCTCACGATATTCACTCAACTCCATTGGGTTTCTATCCATTTGGAACAAAAGAAGAAACTGATAAGAGTATGTATAATTTTCACATTGTATTTGGCACATTATTTGTGCATCTAAGAGATGTTTCCTAGACTATGCTCTCTTATCTTGACCAGAGATTTGGACGACAAGTGACATGATATTCGACCCCACACATAGATAGTTCTTTGTTTGCAGAAATCTCATCTTTGCAACCTCTATCTATGTCAATATTCATGAAGAACAATGTCAAGTGACAGACTTTCATATAACTACTATACGCAACTTAACCATCCTCTAAAGTACCCCACTAACATCTCAACCAGTGCTCGGCAGCATCACATCTGGCGGTGCTACTGTCAACGACGCTTTCTTCCACGGCTCAATACAAACTCTTCCATTTGGAGGAGTAGGAACTAGTGGAACCGGCTCTTATAGAGGCGAGCAATCCTTCCTCGCCTTCACCCATCTCCGTTCTGTTGTCACGACCCCTAGCTGGATCGAAAAAATGCTCAATGTTCGCTACCCACCATATACCGATGCCAAACTTGCCCAATTCCTCAAATCCAGTAGGCAGAAACCAAATTTCGATAGGGAAGGTAATGAGGTTAGAGGATTGAGCTATTGGCTGGGCTTTGTGACAAGTCTTGGTGGTGAGGGAGTTAAGAGTGTGCTTGTTAGGTGGGCAGTTCTCGCTTTCGTTACTTATGGATCGAAGAAAGTCTGGGATTTGAAATTTGGTAGCGGGTTGCCTTCTTACCTGAAATGATTTGATTTTCTCTACTTGAGAATCCTGTTTGATTGACTCACGGAGAACGGAACGAGTGGTCACTTTGCTTTACTTTGTCTCCTTTTAGCACCTTCGTTTCTGCTTAAGAGCAAGTAGCTTAGCAATTTCAATTTCACATGATCATTTCACACTCAACCACGAACATTTTACGAACCCATCATTGGTGGCCTCGGAGATTGAAAAGGTAATGTGATTTTCATCTTCAATGTGAATGTTGCATATCGCAATCTCTTGGAGATTCTTGGTAGTTACGTTTGTTGTCGGGAAGATGCAGGTAAACAAGACGAGCCAAGGGGCCTTACGAGAACCGGAACGGTCTAGAGGTCAAAATTGATGTTTTGTTGCATATCGAAATTTCTTGGGATTTAAGTTTTTTCTTTGTTTTGCGTGGGGGTTTTATCGCCAAGCTGTGGTTTTTTTTCCTTTGCCTGGGCAGGGCGATTGTGTCTGTGTGTTTGACTCGCGTCAAAGGATTAATATTTTCAATTATTTCATCAAAATCAGATTTTGCTGTAACATTTTATGTATTTGTAAAATCAATGTTCAATTAGATGGACATCGGGTTAAGTATTTAACAATCTATATGAGGTTATCCATCTATCAGTTTTACCAACATACCAAAACCAAAATGTAGTACAACAACACTAACCTGATGCCAAGAGAAACCGGAACATCAACGCCAAGATCCATCATTGCGCAACGTATGCTTGCAGATTCCGGATGGTTACGGATGCGGGCGCTGATATCCGAGTCACACTAATGAAACCGCATTCGTGTCACCGAGTAGAAATTCTCGGGCGAGTGGAATAGAGATAGGGAGATATAAGGAGATATAAGGAATCGGGAGGAATAGGGGAGTTGGGGAAGAGGGAGAAAGTGTTTTGTTGCACGTCGAACGATAAGTGAAGGGCTGGGCGAGAATAGATCGTGAGTTTAAGGGGAGGAGATGAGGGTCAGTGTGCTGGGCGAGGTTGTGAGGAGGAGTCTTGTTTTTCGAGTCGGAAGGATATGGGAGATTTGATGGGGTGTTCTAGGTTTCTCTTCATAGGGTAATGTGTTCGTCTCGTTATTGGTTTGTTGCTTCGTTCTAGATTTCGATATTTAGGGTGCGTATGTGTTGATAAGAAGTTCTTGATCAGGAAGTCCTGTGAGGAAGCGGAGAACCGCGAAAGAGGGGCGTCGAATTCAAAAGATGGCATTGGAGATTTGGAAATGGGGGCATCAGAAGCTGACGAGAGACTGTCTTTCAGATGATATCGTTATTCGAAAAGTTACTATGCAAAGGAGCCATGCTCCAAATCTGGTTCGAAATCAATTTTTGGGAAGAAAGATGCTTGTTCATGTACTCAAGCTGTCTATTTTGGCGGAAAATAGCTGATGGTTTCAGTACAGCTGTAACTGAGGAAAAGCTTCCAAAGTATATCGGAATAGTGAGTTCTTGTGGATGCAATTTCTCTTCACTTCCCATATGCTTTCTTGTATAAAGCCTTTGAGTAGATGAGATCCCATCGAATTTGATATGTCGCTGAATCTGGGTTTCTATCAGAGACCGATTGGCTCATCTCCAAAGACATGAGATGATGAATGCTATATGTAAGTTTATATGAAAATGAGAACGTCTCCTACGCTTCTCTAGCGTGCTATTAAAGCTTGACCAGCCCATGTCGACTGCAATCGTTCATGTTCTGGGAATTTGCTGGACTGGAAGAATACAGAAACCAAAGGATGTTCCTCAAAGAGAGGTCGGGAGTGGTGCCATAAAGTTAAATCAATGCTTTTTACATAAATAAATATGAGGAGTGTGACCAATGGGTGACGACATAACGAGTCTAGAAGTGGTCATTTGGAAGAAGAAGATGATGCGGGGTATGAGTGAATATCAACTTAGAAATCGAGGGGTGATTGAACATGCTTCAATCCTTCTCATAATCCCAATCTTCTACGAACTCTAACCACCGCCCATACTCTAAATTTGTTTGGATCTTGATCATTAAGCTGCATTAATGAGCATATTCATCGACGTCTCCAGGTATTTATTGATGTTCCACTGTACACTGTCTTCTACATATTTCGATGTTTTTCAAGTACCTTGAGATCTTTTGCAGTGTTTTAAGGTCTTTTATGGTCCTTTGCAGCCAGACTCATCCATTCGCAGCTAAAGTCATTTGAACTCTGCAATCACTATCAAAACATGCCTAATGTACTTGGTGCGGGACTTCGATGGCTCAGAGGGGAGAAAGGGAAATATTTCAAGGAGCCTATAGAAGCTTGCGTAGGGCCAGATGTAATCGAGAGCAGGTACGCATCTTGATTTAGTCCAAAATCACTTGACTCTATGTGGATAAACAAAAATCGATAGACCTATCTTGTTGGCTTCTTCGCTACCCATCTATACTTTCGCTGACAATTTATTTGCAGGAGGTTACATCAAATGGCTCGAAATATGGGATTGGAGAGCGACAGTGAAGAGGAACGTCTCAATAACCGTACCGTCAAGTCAGAAAGACGCCGCGAGAGAGTCAAACATCGTCCCCCTCCAGAAAAATATAGCCCAGAGGGTCCTTCTAGAAGTGGTACATTGATTGATTATGGTAAGACGGGTGGATATCAGAGGTCAATATGGCTCAAGGAAGGAGATCATTCATCCGACTCAGATAGACTGCCTAAGCATGACTCCCCTCTGGTGAAAAATACAAGGAATAGCTCTGATTACCCAAATACCAATCTGGGACCAAGCGGAAAACCATGGGGTCAACAAAGTTCTTTTTCAGAGTCAGCTCCCGATGACTATTTAATACCCTACAAAAGTTCTGGAGACTTGCATGTGGGAAGTCCAAAAGAAGCTGCTGAATTATCGACATCGGCCGATTCCTCTGAATATGTGCCTCGCGTAGATAGAAGTGCACACGAGAGAAATAATCGGCGAGGGCCTCTATATCTCAACCACCGACCACCGTCGCCTCAGTTAAAGTTTGACCCTGTGCGAGACGCTGCTGCACAAAACGATGTAATATCTCGTCGTCATTCAAATCATGAAGCACCTATCCCATCTCGCGCCATTCCTACAAGAAAGCCTGTACCACATTCCTATTTGCAGCATCCATCAATAGCAAGAAAGGAAGCCAGAGACTTAAATTCTAAACGCCTAGCAGAACTAGCAATAATCAATCGTCGTAATGAGGAAGAGATTCTTCGACAGCGAAGAGAAAGGAAACTTTTGAATGCCACACAAGAGAATGAAGAATCAGATGAAGATTACTACGAAGATACGCCCAGAGGACGACTTCAATATGAAGAGGATAAGAGACTCTTCAAGAACTACCAAGCACGTCAAAGAGAATGCAAACTACTACCTCCCCCGTTACCTCCGAAACTACCCCTAAGCCCCAACCAACACTCAAGCCCACCATCCAGATCCGCCACATTACCCCCTGAGTTTGCGATTCCATTTCGACCTTCATCGCTAATGGAGGACGACAAACCCTACAATTCCTGGCCCGGCCATATGAAACCCCCTCCAGATCTTCGTAAGAGTACAGATATGCCTCCACCACGACGCAATACCGTCTCCTCCAGCACATGGGAAAACAACCCTAGAGCTCCACCCTACCCCGTCACTCCCCACAATTATCATCTCAAGGGATATAATAATCAAAACGATGTTCAAAAACGTGCGGTTCATGATGCTTTTAAAGATATGATGCTACATGGAAATGAAAGAATCGCAGGCCCTACTCCTCCTACTTTCCGGAGTTCGTACCCTGATGCAGTAGAGTTATCGGGTGTTAGTCCAGAGATGCAGAGGGATGGGATGAAGAGACATACAACTGGTGCAAATGAGGTACTTGGTGACAGATCACGAACACCTGCATTTGCGGTAAGAATAGACATGGATGTATTCCATCCTGCCACAATTCAGGAGACTGAAGAGGAACGTGCAGGCGGCGGTAGATTGGGTGTTGAGCGAATGGAGTTAGATGGTGAAAGTAGACGAACGGAGGAAATTAGAGATCGAAGAAGAGAGAGAGTCCCGGAAATTCATGTTCAGCGTCCTACTCCAAGTGCAAGTCTACGGGAACCACATGATGTGAATATCGGGAGGACGAGAAGGAGTGCGGAGGTTGAGCGGTTGGCAGCGCCGAGATCGGAGCATGGAGAGCGCAGGAAGCATGAAAAGCATAGAAAGCATGAGAAACATTAGGAAATTATAGATGGTGGATGCTTTTTCCAAGGATTAGATGGGGAATGGGAGAAAAGGAAGTGGTAGAGAAGAAAATTATGATTATGGCTGTGAAAAGGTAGGTGAGTTGAACTTGCGCGTATTGGATTCATGGGCTGGCCTTTCATTGAACATTGAACATGGGAATTGGATTCGGCGTAGATAGTATCTCAACAATATTGCCTTCGGGTGTCAAAAAATAGGTAGCATAGGTAAATACATAGTTCAAGCTTTTCAACATCAGGGATAAACACGGCAACGGGTAGCGTTCATATGTTATGTTCAGATGTTGAGAATTTTCACACAGTCCACAACACTCAGAATGACACGTAGAGACAAGTTCAATAAGCGCAGTAAGTTGAATCATCGATGAAGACTTAGTCTGAGATGACTCAAGGGGGTGTGCTCTTCCACAAAGAGAGGCCTGTGTTAAGAAAGCCGACTGGAGAAGTCAGCAATAGTTCAACTCGACGATAGGTTCGGTAGTTAGCAATGAAAGTACAGATTCATGGAATGACTTCAAAGTCAAGGTACGAATACGAACACACTTGTGCCACATCTATTCATTCCTCGCAGTATTTGATCTCATTTAGAAGAAGCCAGACAATGAGACCATACCACCTGAAGTCCAATCCTCAATTGAAGTCCCTAGAGAAGAAACACTTGAAGATATACGCTGGAACCCCGTTTCGCTTTATAAAATATCTTGGCACTTATAATCTATGAAATATACTACAATCTCATTTAGATTGTTCGGAGAGGGGGGCCGCAACTGAGCTTTTGGAAAAGAGAGGTTAGAAATATAGTTTTGAAAATCGCTCATTAGTTAATCAAATACTTCAGAGAACTCACAGTTATTCTCTAGTGTAGTATAAGCTGATCAACGGGTAGTAGCGGGGATGAGGAGGGTATTTGCAGAATCAATAGGATTTATGTAAAGCAACCAAATATGATCTATGATATCGTTATTCCTTCAAGACAGCTTTTACTGCAGTTATCTTTTGAGAAGAGAGAGTATATAGCATATGATGAGAAGCAAAAAAGAGATTGGGATACATAGAAACTTCGAGTCCAGGCGAAGAACGAGGATTCAATATACCATCGATACATCTCCATCCCCCACAAAACAGAACCCAAGACGGCAGATCACCAATCAACTCATGCATTCCATCAATCCACGCACACTCAAAACAATCCATATCTCAATCTCCTCCCTCCTCATCAAATACTCTCCTCGCCATCGAAACTCGCGACTCTCTCAACAAGTGCATCACCTCCAGCTATGCGCCTTCTACCACTCTCCAAATCCACCATCCTAATCGCATTCCTATCCGCTGGTACTTCTGAGTCTCGATTCCCATCTGTATTTCCAAGAACACGCAAAAATAGACCGCGAATAGCAGACACGATTCGATTCAAGGAAGTCTCGATCCAACACCCAATAATCCACAGGTCGTCTCTGAATTTCGGGAGAAGTAGGCTGGCTAGGAGCTTGATTTGAAGTGGAATGTTAGCGCTGATACTCAGTAGATATGAAGGATGAGTGAACAATAGAAGTCCTAGAATTCAGAGAATTCCCAGTGATGACTTATAAGTCGCTCATGCATACACGTGCATGCGCTTACCAAAATCGTAAGCAGGATGAGAAGAAATACCAAACTAGCTCCCTGAATAGTATTGAAATATGGGTTCATGATGACGTATACTTGTGTGGTGTTGTTGATCGACTAATTCTGTTTCGCGAAGTTTTCGAATCGAAGGTTTCTTTAAGATGTGTGGGTTGTACTTGATTCTGCGCCTGTGCATTTTATCTACATGCTGATCTATATGCACACTATCTACCTATCCAGGTACCTCAATTTTTATCCATAGAAAGCAGGATAGCTAGGCCGGAAATGAGAAAGGAAAAAGATCCTGCTATTTTTTCCGCTCCTCGATACTAGTATTCTTTGAATACATAAAAACTTCATAGGAAGTAAGGAATATTTCACTGCGGCTACACACAAGGCTGAATATGAGTCACAATTATCAGATAAAAATATACAATCTATCTATCGCGCCAACTCTGTTATTTTTTATAGGTATCTAGTTTAAAATTCAGATATTAACAATGATGGATAACTAGTAACTTGTAAAAAATCTCGCTTCGAAGAAACCCCCTTCGAAGCGAAAAATTGTGGTTCAGGGATAAACAACTCTGTGCATGCTTATGAAACTGATATTTCACACATCTAGATAGCTATTTATTTACATTCTAATAAATATCATACGAGCAAGGAGAATTCTATCAATAGCAAAACTTGAGTAAACCCAAAAAATTGATGATAATTCACCATTCTTTATGCATCAAACATCTCAGAACCTTTATAACACGCATGAATGAGTAGCATACAATGGAACAGACTACACAAATAACAAAGAATCATATAAAATCTCACACAGCTCGATTTAAATCCCTACTATTTCTCAAGATCCAAGTATGACTCAGAAATCAAGAGACAGAAGTTCGTGTTGGTCTTGCTGTGTTGAAATTATTAGTATGATAAGATAGTGAATTGTCGCAGTGATTACACGAACCTATGTAGAAATTCAGATATCCAAGTGAAGATTTTGAAGACTTTGAAGAATCTTGGAGAAGACGTGTAGAATTGGGTATCTAGTAATATAGAATACGCTCTTCCAAGAAGCAAAGCCGACCTTACAATTTCCGGTTTGATCATGATCATTACTGTTATATTGTACCCAATAAATACTCTTATCCCTCATCTAGTAACAACACATATATCTTATCTTTTAACAGCAGAGAAATCTCCATCCAGATTCAAAGTCACTAGTCACAGACTTCTCACGATCTTCTTCTCTTTTCACTTTGATGTTATTCTCAAGCCCAGTAGGTACTAGAAGGAGTATAACCCCAAGTATATCCAAGAGTACACATACCTATCATGAACCACTCCTACGATTACCCACAACGCAAAACTCGCACATTTTCTTATTGGAAACACAGCTTCGACTTTCAAGGTTGTGCAGATTAGTCTTCCTGATTGTGGAGATCTTCTAGTTTTCCGTTTTCGAGAAAAATTATTATCCTTAATACTTACTTCTAGAAAGCTATTAATACAAGGACACATAATCGTGTACACAGAGTCTACAACGTACAACACCCCTTCCAATAACCAAAAATCCCCAACAGAGTTGAAACCACACATTACCTACTACTTAGTAGTTAGCCCTCCACCACACCCCCAAATTCAAAATCAAAAGCAAGTCCCCTCTCCCATCACAAGTCCAGAAATACATCATACACAATACAGAACACCTACCATCTAGACATCAACAATTTGACAATTGCCTATCTATAATTCTACCCGAAGTTCGGAACTGCAAAGTTTAAGTTTCCACGCTAGCTCTTTCGTGTGTGTGACTGTGATGGATCTCTTGGTATTGCGATCTAATTCTCACTTCCACTTTTCTCTTTTACGATCTTTGAATATAGAAGGAAAGAGGGTTGGGTGTAACAAGGCAAGTCGGGGGTAAGAAACAAAGGTAACACGCAAGCGAGCAAGCAAGCAAACAGACCAGCAGGCAAAATGTTCAAGCAAACAAGACACATCTATAACAGGTAAGGAATGCAATCAAGAAAGTAAGCAATAGAAAGTGTAGTTTTAACAATGATATATTGTTTAAGAGAGTATCTATAAGTCTAAAAGTTTTCCCAACGCTATCATTACATCCATCCAGATATCCAACTCCATGTCATTAAATTTAACCCATCCCAGTCTATAATATCCTCTCCAATGCATGCATATATTCATTCATTCGCGAATCTCATCACACCTCAAATTTATTGAGGAGCGACAATGACACCTCTGTATCTCATCTTTCCATCCTCGAGTTTCTTCATGGCCTCTTGGATACCCTCCTCAGTCATTGGGAATTGCTCAATGATTGGCTTGATCTCGTGTTGAGCGGCGAAAGCAACCATATCTCTGTGAACTTGTCTGGCAGCGACCAAGGAACCTTGGATCTTGAACTCGTTCATGATGATTGGCATGTATGGGATCTTCATGTCTTCGAAAGAAACAGTCAATGGGTAGACAGTTGCTTGAGGAGCCATGATATCCATGAATTGATGCCAGTTTGGTTGGAAAGAGGTGGTGACGATCAAGTGATCAATTGGGGCGGAAACCTTGAGCTCAGAGACACCCTTGGTAGCGACGAATTCGGTGGCACCGAGGGAGAGAGCCTCCTCCTTCTTGGCATCGGTGGAAGAGAAGACAACGACTTCACATCCCATCTTGGCGGCGAATTGGATGGCCAAGTGACCGAGTCCTCCAATACCGATTATACCAACACGCTCATTTGGCTTGACACCACCGTTGAAAGAACGGAGAGCATTGTAGACGGTAGCACCTCCGCACATGAGAGGAGCAGCGTACTCGCGGGGAAGGTTATCAGGGAGCTTGTAAAGGTATCCGGCATCCCAGACAGCGTGGGTTCCCATGGATGCTTGGTCCAAGTTGGCTTGTCCGTACATGACACGGTCGGCACAGAGGGTCTCGTGACCAGTAAGACATTGCTTGCAGTCGTTGCAAGAGCCGTGTTGGTAACCCCATCCGACAGAATCACCCTTCTTGATGTTCTTAACAGCAGATCCAATTTCCTATTGCATTATTAGTGATTGATTCATAAAATGATATTTTCCGGTCACGTCTAGAAGGAAGGTGGAAAATGAACAGTGGCCATTGCGTTATGCGATGGTTCCGCTCAAAATTCTCAAATCCCGCTAGGCGAGTGGAAAAGGCGGGAAGATAAGGAGTACCCACAGCTGCAACACCAGCACCTTCGTGGCCTAGAGCCATATCGGCATGTCTGTAATGCTCATCGGTACCGCAAAGACCCTATAAAATCTGATGTCAGTGGTATGTTCGGAGAATATTTCATGCAGCTAAGAATCATGATTCGTTTGTTGCATATGCGAGCAACTTTGGGAATGGTGGATTGTTGCATTTGGAATTGCATTGAGATGGGATAGAGAGGGATCATTTCTTACCGAGTGAGTGATCTTGACCAAGACATCGTTGGGACCGATCTCTCTGGTGGTGGTAGCCTTAACGATCTTTCCCTCCTTGGAACCCTTGAAGACAGTGAAATCAACCATTTTGATAGATGTAGTATTAAATGTAAAAGATTTAAGAGGTAGTATTAATTATTGATTGCGTGTTGATTGAGTAGTGAGTCTTGAAGATGTGAAGAGTTGATTGTTGATTGAAGTGATGATAGTATTGATGATGATGATGATGATGATGACGATGATGTTGTTGTTGATGATAGAAAAGAAGAATATAAAAAACGAGTTCAACCCTCATGTATATATACCAAAATCATCGAGTTGCCATCGACCCCAGACCCAGTGAATATTTCGTACCATCATGCAAATATTCTCAGCAAAACTCCAAACTCCGAAAACCATGACATATTTTCGCATGTTTACGATCCACTCCATAGGGCCAAAGTCAAAAGAGAATAATTCGTAAGTCGTCTCCGAAACTACATGTCTTTCCCTTCTAGGAAGGAATCCGGTGAGGAGTGGTCTTCCATTTTGTTCTACACTGCAAAAACTTGATAAATGCCCCGGTTAAGATTTCGATGGTGATCGGATATCGCGAAAAAAGAATTTGATAGCGGCGGGAGCTTGGAATCTTTGGAATCTACCGGAACTCAAAACGGCATGACGTCGGAGGAAAGATGGAGTACCCTTGTTGGAGCGAGAGAATCAAAGGACTAACTCCGATGAACCCAATGCGGTTGTCAAATTAATCAATGGCCCAAGGGATTTGAACGCAGCCAAAGCATGAAAAGGGTTCACAGTTGGTTCGGAGATATCGATGATTGGATGATTTTCACACCCAGATAGAGTGGGAGTTTCAAAGACCGGAGCTGTTAATATTGATACTTAATGCTTATTCAGCCTTATCCTATTACATAGATTGGAGATTCGGACTTTGGCATCTAACTGTTTCTATCTTAGGAGCTCTTTTCGGCAATAACGACGATTGGTTCCGATGAGACTTGGCGATGGCATTTATGCATGGTTCCATGCTTCACACATTTGGATTGCAATATGAAAAGGTCAGGAGCTGGTGGAGTTGACTGTTTGGATCAATTTGATCAATTTGATCAATTTGGTATACCAAGTCCCACGTACCGGAGACGCATGCATTAAGAATGTGTTGTGATAAGATGATACGTTGTTAACCGAAATATTATCTCCGAATCCCAATCTGTCTCCGGAGCTTCTGGAGTCCAGAACAAGCAAATAAATTGAAGAGCTTCAACCCAGCCAACCCAACCCGTGCAATTGATCTTTCCCTTTAGATCGTACGAGTCTTTTCATTTGTCTTGTTGAACAGTTGGTCCCGGTAACTTATTTTCGTCTTACCTCGGCTTTCTTCAATATTCATCTTTCTCGATGTTTCGTACAGAGTATACATACATACCTACATACATACCTACAGTACAGTACACGCACGCATGGCATTTTGACCCTGACTCGTATTTTGATCTTATTTGATTTCTTCTATATTAATTATATTTTCATGTTGTGCTCATTAGACTTAAGACTCGTTTGCCTATCTCTCCCCCGACATATGCACTACTTTCACCTTCGTCTTCCTCATCCACCTCAACGGCAGCTCCATATGCTTTGTTGACCATATCTTCGTCAACCCTCAGTCCTTCTTCCACCAACAGTTGAATGACTCCCTTTATTCTTGCAATCTCCCTCCTCGTGTCGGGAATAATTTCGTCGTTTTGACTTGAATATGCTGCGTTGCTAACACTTTCCTCGATTCTTGTGATTGAGGTTTCTCCTTCCTTTACTTCAACCGTCTTGCATATCCAGATGTATCCATTGACTCCCAGAATGACATCTACCTTTCCACCGTTGTGTGCTGTATCGATAGTCCAAACTTGTCTTCTAGCCCGAACCACACCTCCACCTCCACCAGTTCCACTAACAGCCATGAAGACACCATTCCTCAGCTTTCCATATTTTAAACTTCTCGTATGCAAACTGGCACTTCCATCTTGATATAATTGTTGGACTTCGGCAACTAGTAAATCTCCCTCCGAAAAAAAAGTTCGTATTTGAAGTTCATCGGTTTCCGTTCTCTTTCTTTGAATTCCTCCTGGAAGATTAATTGCGGACAATGGTAAATTGGCAAGAACCGGAGCTCCAATATCAACACGCCACCTCTTACTTTGTACTTCTATAATTCGTCCCACAACAAGATCACCGATTTCCGGGGTATAGCGGGCGCGTAATGGTCGAACTGAGAGAAGTTTATTCGTTTTTTGAACTGTACCTGCGACGGTTCCTATAATTTCTGTACTTGCAGGAGCGACATATGTGCCATGACCTCTGAGGAGATTGTTAGCTATGCTTTATAGTTGAATATACCACAGAGAGTAAGAAATGTTTGTACCTCATCCATTGAGGATCATCTGTGATTACTTCACCAGGAGTAACAATATTTTGATGCTTGGTCCGTTTGGACAGTTGCATATCAAGATCCCCTTCTATATCAACACCTCCATCATCAGAATGATCAGACTCATCCTCAGTGTGATAGGGTACCGCAGCAGAAACTGGTGCGATAATAGTAATTGCCATGATGTAAATAGACAATTTGCGATCTTTTTCTTGATATGCTTCACGAGGCTGTGGATATTGATACCTCCAAACCAATCCAAGCTTCTAAACTTCCAAAGAAACTCGTTTTTTCTTAGCGAGACCCTTTGCAGAGCCAATTTTAGCCAAGGCTGAAAGTCTTGATTTTGAGAAGGCTTGGTCTGCGGTTAAATGGTTCCCTAAATGATAGCACCAATCAAAGCGATTATTTTTCGTGGAATCCGAAGGGAAAACCACTTCTTTTTGATGGAGGATCAACAATTACATCATCACTCAGCATATGTCAAAGCCATCCATCCAATACCTGATGCGATGTGATCACGATTCATACCAAGGAGAAGAAATGTTGCTCTTCAGTTGTAACAATATTCGTAAGTATCAAATGCTCTGTAGTTCTCTCTTTCAATCTTTTTACCATACACACACACACAATTCATAACAACCATTTAAATTCTTCAAAGATCTGTGAATCGTAACTTGACAATTATTTCATTCGTTCATTGTCATACTGACGCACTGTTTTGCTTTTTTGGACCTTCCAGCAAATGAACCGGAATCCATGGAAAGTGCATAATCGATTTTCATCAACATGCCGGAGTTCAATGCATTCAAAGACGAGGAGATAAAAGAGAGCGAACATCATAATCATTCACATGGACATCATGATGAAGAATCAACTACACAATTACAGAATTTAGAAGAGAGGAGGAATACACAAGATGAATTAAACGCAAACACGCCACACCTTCAACCGCCGGAATCATCAACACACAATCTTCAAACACCAAGTGAAAATTCATCGCCTTCACAAACATTTGGGTTGAGAGAACCATTACCTCCTTTACATACACCACATCGAAGGAGGAAAACGATATTATGGGTTGGACTTATTATCGTAACACTTGACCTGGCTTGTCTGCCGATTACATATTACTATGCCTTGAGTTTTGGAACAAACATAGAGTTACAAGATAGTAAGGCCTATTTCCTTCACCCTACAAAATGTTCCACCAGTTCTAATCGTATACAATTAGTCTTCGCTATCATAACAAGTGTATATGGAATGATCAGTTTCGCACATTATGGTTTCCGATCCCTGAAACTCTTCCGTGCCAAAACGGCGCCGAGATGGAGACCAGTAGGATGGACTAAATGGGGAATGGTAAGCTACACAAGTCATTCCTTGGGTTTGACATGTTGCTAACAAATCTTCCAGCTTGAATTCCTCCACATCAACTTCATGATCGCTATCACCTTCGTAGAACTCGAACTTATTATAGGAACTATTCCACACCACCCATGGGTGCGCTTATGTGCTATGCCTTCCCCTACGATATGTTATTGGTTTGGGTTCATGTTCATATACTCTGCGGTTCAAACAATGCGAAAGAAGCCACTGCCATTCAACATGTCATCGACAGAGAAGGGAATGCTTTGGCGTCCAGCGTTATTGGCCATCATCGAGGATGCTGGTGGAGTTGAAGGCCAAGGAGGAGTCGTATATCGAAGCAATGTATTGAGACGATACGAAGTCAGCCCCATATTTCGACGTATGATGATGGTTCTAACGTGGTTTTGGGGTATTGGACTCGTATGCATTGCCATTATATCAACAGTCATCATAATGACTTTACCCGAGAATATTGGTTTCGGAGTCGGATGGGGATTGCCATATTGTTTCGGTTTCGTTTGGGTTTGCATCACTATGGCTTTTGTGAAGACGCAATTGCGAAAAGAGAAAAGACATTGGGAGACGAAAGAAGCCGGAGAAGGTCAGGCTGTTGCGGAGTATGCTTGAGCGAGCCATCAAGCGGATATCACTTGTATAGTATTGTTATTGTAGATACCACTGTGCGATTCATAGAACATATATTTTTTTCATCCTTTATCCTCTCAGTACAACTTTTCTTGTGACATCATCGTATTCCGAGTGAGTAGAATTCCGAAACTCCCAAACGCCATGCCTCATTTATAAGATTCTCGGTCCCATGGCCGGAGGCAACCTAATTTTTCAGCCTCCAAAGTCCCATGCCAACGAGTGTCAATGCAATGCCAGTAATACCAGTTTGCCGACTCTTCATACCGAACATAGATTTGCTCTTTAGAATCTTCGCTTCTTGGGCCTTTAATTGGGATTGCCCGGAGAAATAACTGTAGATCCCGAGGCCGATAAATGCGAAGGATCCTGAGGAAGTGTCAGTTTGTGCTGCATAGATAGGAGCCTGGCAGGCTCGTAATGTAAAAGGCGCATGGAAATCAAGAGGAAGAGAAAAATTGGGGGAAGAAATGAGGAAGGGAACGAGGGGGTGCAGTGTAACATAGGGAAGATATACCAGTGAGTCGACAAGGTAAACAGTCATCTTTCCATTGTGCCTCATCTCTTTTTAGCACATCCGTGAGTCTTTCCTGTCGATCGAGACTTTGTGCGGAATTAGGTGCCATTGTGAGTGTTCGTGCTGCTGTTTGTCACACCTGTGTAATAATTATTGAAGCTTGATGACCATGAGAAATAGAAGCGGCCGCTTTCCCGCTGCGGGCCGCCCCGCAAGTTCGCAAGCATGCATTCATCATTGTTCAAGCTACAAGTTGCAAACCAAATGCAAATGTCTTGATATTATTTTTAAACAGAAATCATGAATGGTGCTATTGAGGCATTGTATATCTATGATGAACACAAGTGAGTCATCCCACCAATTAATCCTATTTGCTTCACGGCTTCGCTCGTTCTCTGCTCCCTCACTCCCTGGCTCAGATTCGCAAACCCCCAAGCTTCCATGCTAATCATCTTCACAGTCGACCTCTTCTCCAAAATACCTACACTTCGCGCCCTCTCTCCTCTACACAACTCCTCCCTCTTTACCTCGCCCATCCAGCTCCAAGACCAAGTCTAATATATCTCCCAAACACATCTCCGCCCACTCTACTCTTTAATCTCATTCATTCAAACCTACTATTTTGTCTCACATCCTCCTCAGAAATCGAACCTCTTCTCGCTCTCGAATTCTTACACCGTGTTATCGATGTGCTAGAGGAATTTGTGGGTGCGCCGCTATTGGCGCAAAAGATAGAGAGTAGCTATGATGTAGTGGCCCAGTTACTAAATGAGATGTGTGATGCGGGCACGGTGAGCTCGACGGAACCTAATGCGTTGAGGGATATGGTGGAGGTGGAGGGGTGGATTGGGAAGTTCTTGGGGGGTATTAATATTCCTGGGTTCGTGAATCTATCTTCCTGGGATGCAATTTAAGTTTCGGAACATAACTAAGATATCTATTATAGGAAACCTGGCTTTGCAACTCCCTCTAGTTCAGGCATGTCTGGATTGTCATCTACAGGTTCACTCGCAGCGAATACACCAGCTTTACCATGGAGAAGAGCAAATGTACGACATACTTCGAATGAATTATATGTGGATCTGGTTGAAACACTTACTGTTACTCTTGCGCCGTCTGGTCGCCCGTTGGCTGCGTTTGCAAATGGAACTATTGCTTTTACATCAAAAATCTCTGGAGTACCAGACCTACTCTTGAATTTATCCACACCATCCGGTAGACAAAACGTTAGCAGTGTTATGGAATTACCAGTATTTCACCCGTGTGTCAGATTAGCGAGATGGAGAGAAAAGCCAGGGGAGTTGAGCTTTGTACCGCCTGATGGACGATTTGTTTTGGCTGGATATGAAGTTGATTTACTTCCTTCTACGGGTGGAAAGTCTGGTACTACTAATGCATCTCATTTAAAACTACCGGTCAATATTGAAGTCAAAACGAGTCTCGGTCCTACCGGATCCGATTTCGAGGTTCGGTTATTCATTGTCAAGGTTTCTGGCCAGGGTAATTCCTCAATATCTTCAGGTTCGAGTTCGAGAAGTAATAGCAATGCGGCAGGACAACTAAGCAGGGCTGCATCACAGTTTAGCGGTGGTCTCGGTGGAAATTTCGGTGGCAGTACTGGTAACAGCACCTCACCAATCATCGAAGATTTAGTAGTCACAGTGCCACTACCAGCTGATGTACGGAATCTATCGGAGATCAAAGCAAGTAGAGGCGATACAACATATAATCCAGGTGAAAAGAATCTGGAATGGCATATACCAGCTAGAGATGCGGTAGCAGGTGGAGCTACATTACGATGTACAGTCGTGGGGCCGTTATCAACCGAAGAAGAATATGATGGAAATGGTTTCAGACTCGATGGTGAATACGACTATGATACAGAAACATATCAAAGCGCCCCAGAGAAAGCAAAGGTGGAAAGTATTTCAAATAATGAAGGAAAAGATGCAAGGAAAGTAGCGCAGAATAAAATTCTAATGCCTAGTTCTGCAGCAGTTAGTTTTTCGGTCAAGGGGTGGCTGGCTAGTGGTATTAAAGTGGAGAGTTTAACGGTTGATACGAGAAAGAGTAGAGGGATTGGCGAGGGAGTCAAACCTTACAAGGGGGTTAAGTATTTGACGGTTAGTAGGGGTGGGATTGAGGTTAGGTGTTAAGCATTTTGGTCGCGGACTAGGTGGATATAGGCGTCTTGAGGAGTATGCATAGGTATTTTATAGGCATGAAGGCGAAGATACCATTCAATTGAATTGAACCCAAACACAAGATATCTAGGTATCAAAAGCATCCGGTTGACCTCAACATCATGCATATTGAAAAGTTAATATTCAGGCTACACAATAACAACTCCTCTCTGTCTTCCTTCCCCCCTTCTTTCCCTGCCTTCCCAGCCCCAATAACCTCACCTCATCCACCCCTCTCTAAATCCATCCATCCATCTACCTCCTCCCCTCCCTCTTCCTCCTCATCTCCTCCTCACTCATCGGCACATAGCCCTCCAAAATCGTCCGCTCCATATTCCCAATACACCGCACGGGTCTGGGTGGCATCGCCACTCCAAGCGCAATATCCCGCGCCAGAAGCTCCGCGCTGCTCATGGGTACGTAGCCTTCGAGAATCGTGCGCTCCATGTTTCCAATGCACTTGGGGGGTTGAGGTACCGCAAGGAGATTGGTCGGGGTGAGTTTGAAGGGTGTGGGCTTTTTGGCGGCGGCTTTGAGGTGTTGTTTCTCGAGTGCGAGCGCGAGGCGTTGCGCGGCGAGATGGTTTTGCGCAGCTAGTTGTTCTTTTTCTCGTTGAAGGGCTAGTTGTTTTATTGCCTTTGCTTTTGCGTCGGCTTTTTGACGAGCGGTTTCGGCTCCTTGAGCCGCGCGTTGGGCTTGGAGTTGTTGTTGTTGTTGTTGTTGTTGTTGTTGTTGTTGTTGTTTGAGTTTGAGGAGATGGGCGGCTTCGGCTTGTTCTTCTTTTTGTCGCTGGGCGCGTTGGAGAGAATCGGCTTGTGCTTGACGGTGCCGCTGGACTTTGAGTTCTTGTTGTACTTTTTGTTGTTGGAGACGCAGAGCTTCTTGACGTTTACGCTCTTGTTGAATTTTCTCTCGTTCTCGTTCTCGTTCTTGACGGACTTTTTCTTCTCGTGCAAGTTGTGCTTGGTGTTCTTTTTCTGCTCGTTCTTGTTGCAAACGTCGAGCGGTTTCTACCTCTTTTTGTGCTTGTCGAGCACGGTGTTCTTTTTCTGCTCGTTCTTGTTGTAAACGAAGATTCCTCTCTTGTTCTTTTCTCTCGCGCGCGACTCGCTCTTCGGTGGCTTTACGGATGGATTCTCGATGGATGTTTTCTTGTCTCTCTTTTTCTTTCTCTTTTTCCTTTTCTTTTTCCTTCTCCTCCTTCTCCTCCTTTTCGTGCTGGAGTAAGATGTTCTGTCGTGAGATACGATCGCGTTCTTCTTTCTCTTTTTGAGCACTCTCGGCTGAGAGGGCTTGGGTTGTTCTCTCTTGTTCGGCTTTAGTGCGTTCTTCGCGGGCTCGTTGGGCGATGTGCAGCTTTTTTGCTTCTGCGAGACTGCGTTCTTCGATTTCTTTGGAAAGTGTTTGGGCTTCTTTTTCTTTTGCTGTGGGAGATGAGGTTTTAGGAGGGAGAGAAGGTGATGATTTCACTAGAGGTGTCGGTTTACGAGGTTCTCCCTCCCTTGTATCTCTACCTCGCTCGGTTCTTGGCCTGTCTTCAGGAGCAAGAGATTTAACATCAAATCGAACTTTCCTCTCCCTATCATCTCTATCTCTCGCTCTCTTCTCCTCATTCTCATCCTCCCCCACACTACCACGTCGTCTCCTCCGCCTTCTCCTATATTCCTCATCCTCACCTTTCCCACCAGCATCCTTTCTATCCTCTCTCCCCTTCTCCTCTCCATCTCCATCCACATTCCCCGCCACACATTTCCCTAACGCCATAATTCCCCTTCCAATACTCTTTCGACTCTTACTGAAAAGTCCTTGTTTTTCTTCTTTATTAGTTTCATCACCCCTACTCCTTCCCCTATCATCTTTCTCTTTCTTTCGATCTCCTCGCTCGGAATCGTCGCAAGTGCGAGCTAATCTCCTTTCTCGACGTCTTTTTTCATGGTGTGCGCGGTGGCGAGCAGCTCTTTCTTCTTCGGTTTCGGAGGCTTGGTTAGGGGGGTTTGAATTTGGTCGGGAGTCTTGAAGAGGAGGTAGAGATGGCATTTTGGGGTATAGGGGAGAGGGTAAGAAATCAGGGGGGGATGGGGGAGTGTGAAAGTAAGGGAGGGAATGGGATGAAGATATGGTGTGAAGATTAAGAAAATTAGTATTATTCCTCTAAAAGGAAATGAGATAGTGGATAGTGCTAGTGATATATTGGAAGAAGATACGATGTGGGATTGATGGGAATATTTGTGGGAAAATATCTAAGAAGATAGGAGTTTATGGTACTTTATGATACTATTATGTTTTACATGTACATGTAGAGGCCAAGAAAGATGTTAGATAAGATGAAGATGAAGAGAGTTAATAGAGAGAAAATGTTTTCGCATGGGTAGAACTTATATACATCTTTGGATATGATGTGATGTAGTATTCATCCAGATGAATGGAAACGATGATTTGTGAATAGGGTGAGCTGAGAATGAGGATGAGAGATAGAGTAGATAAAGGATTAGTTCTTTCGGGTTATTCATCTGAATGATTCTATGCGGTATATTCATCATTTTTGAATCTATAGGTCTGTCGAGATAGTACCTATTCATGAGAAGTAGGGTATAGTGGAACCATGTACTCTAGTGATCATGAGTAGAATAAGAATTGTTCATGCTGTAAGTTACTGATATAGTTATTGAGTATTGATATGCTTGCAATTCACATTCGTGGGATACCAAACGTACAATGATTGGAAATGAAATCTTTTGTGCTCTGTTCTATTCACTCCCTGAAGTATCCTCGATATCTAACAAATAATCTATCTTCTAAACAACTCTTTCTCTTGCTGTTTTCTTATTGGTTCACCTTATGTGTATCTTATGACATGTATAACGCGGGTGTCCATGAACTTGCCGCCTCCCTAACCTCATCTTATTCGTCGCAAGACAATCCATCAAACTCCATATATGTAAATAAGCTCCCCATTTCAACCCATCTCGCTTGTACACATATTAGATACCTATAGCCCTAATATCTCAACTCATCTCAACACCGTTTTCCTCTAACTCAACAACTCCCTTGGCAAGTACTTGTATATTATCCCTCGCACCGTTCTCCCCCTTTTGGCATTTTTTTAATACCTCCCGTATCGATCGCCATTCTCCCTGGTTCATTTCCCATCCTTGAAGTTCTATAAGCTGTCTCACTGTTTGATAGGCTAGGAAATCTTCTGGTAGAATCTCGTGTGCGAGCGAAGGAATTGCAATTGAGCCTTTAGGGGACTCTCCTGTTGGGAGAGGAGAGTGAGAAGAGTAGTATAATTGTTTCGAGATATTCGACTTTGTTGCGGGAGGATTTGGTGATGTTATCTTGGGACGCTCTGTGAAGGTGAGAGGTGTAGGCTCTGGTGTTGGAAGAGAAGATGCAGCTAGAGGATCGGAAATAGATTTTGATGGAAGAGGATAGTAGCCGCAAAAGGACGGACTGTGGGGAAGTTGAGATTGTTCTTGTTTTTCTGCTCTGTTAGGTGAAGGAGAACGGGAAGGGGAAGGGTTATGGAAATAAGGTGAGCGAATATGACGAGTTGGTGGTGATGGTGGTGATGGCGTTGGGGGATACCTTCCGGGTGCTTTTGGTTGAGGTTGACTTTTTAGAGCTGACTTGGAAAAAGGATCTGCCTGCAAATAATTTGCTTTGGGCGATGGTGGTGGGAGTGTTGGTTTATCCCATTGAATATCTGATGAAGGTTGACCAGCATATGGAAAGAATGTTGTTGATGGTGGTTCAACCCTGATCTGAGGTGGGGGCGGCGGTGGTGGTGGAAGAGGAGAATTTAATGGATGAAGCTTTGGTGGTGAGGACGATCCTTTAGAACGGGCAGCTTGGAAGTAATCGAAGTCCATCGAGTTTTGGTTGGTAGGTTGTGGGGAATATGAAGGGCTGTGGGATGATGTCTGGGAAGGAAGATATTTCGGAAGAGGTGGGGATGTGTTTGAAAAATATGAATTCAATGTTTGGAGAACAGATGGTGATTGAGATGACTGGGACGATGGTGACGGTGTTGAGAAATACGAATTCAATGATTGGAGAATAGATGATGGTGTGGACCTTAAAAAGTAAAGATTTGATGGCTGATGCGATGAAGTTGATGTTGGAGTTGATTCGAGTATTGGCCTGGAACTCGAATCGGAACGTTGAGACAAAAGGTATCTGTGAATGAATAAACTTGATATTGATGGTGAGCCTGAAGGTAATGGCACATATGATGCTAGAAGATCTGTGAATGGAGGATCTGTGGATGGAGGATTTTGTCGAATGGGTGATTTTGGTTTGAATGAAAGTATCTCCTGGGAATTGGGAGGAAACAATGGTTGATATGGATCCGGAGACAGAGTTGTTGTTACGTGAGCGGGATTTAACGATCCAATAAACGACGATGAAGGTAAGGGTCCAGATGTTGGCCCAATTCCTGGAGGTCGAACATACGCGGTGTTTCGTACTGCAGGAAAAGAATGGGACGTCAGTGAATGTCCATTTTGAAGTTTCGGAGTAAAACGTACTGCAGTTGAAGAGGAATCGTATTCCATTCTGCGGTGGGAAGTTCTATCCGAATGTCTCAATATGTTGTAACTTCTTTGAAAATCTCTTTTAGAAGCGTCTCGCGGCGTAATAGAATATCCGAAAGCATCATAAGAAGCACAAATGGGCATTTCTGGTTCTCGCGTGGAACTCCCGTAGAAAGTCGGGGATCGTAAAGACGTTTTTGGCATTATGGGTCCTGACAATTCTCCAAGAGATTGTCTTCGTTGAAGACCTATTGGTGGACTATCTCGGACCAAACTATCGTGGAACTCCAGAGGTCTATCTGTTGGTTCTAACACTCCTGACATGATATAATGTTCTGGACTTGGATTTTGTGAAGGCAATGACGAACGCGAAGATGTTGGCGGGTGGGGAATAGTATCATCTTGCTCAGTAAATCTAACTGACTTTTGCTTTTTCGAAGCTGGAGCACGCCAAAGTACTCGATCCTCCAATCCATTTTCCTCTGCTGAATTTAATGGACTTCTGCCGCGCTTAGATTGGTTGGTCTTCTGCTCATCTTCATGGCTGATCCTTGAGCTTGAATTTACTGCATGGCCCGAGAAGCCAGGCGAGTTAGGATTCTGTTCCCACACAACAGCATTTACAGTTGCTTCATCCCCAATGCGACAGCTTTCCAATGTTTCATGATCTGCTAACTCTCTACCTCCATAAGATAATGCGCAGTCATGGCCGGAATGAGGGACAATTCCTCTCTTCAACAGTGAAGCAATGAATCTTGATTTCACAAGTAGTACGCGATAATTTGGACCGATGTTTCGTAGCGAATGCACACCAGTACTGGTCATTACATAGAGTATTTTACATGGCCTGTAAGTTTCGTTGACAAAGGTCGAGTCATCTTCATCGTCATCCGAAAGTCCTGTACTCTGGAATGCGTTATATGCCATATCTTCGAGTTTATGATCGATTTTGAAGGATTAAACCAAAAGAGTGTCATCTGGTAGACATTGGAAGAAAGTTTTTGTGGTAATTTTGAGATAGTAATGCCCTTTGTTTGATAAGACTTCTAAATTAAGAAGTTTGAGAATGCTTTGTATGTATTTAGCTTGGAACACCTCTTTGTATCTCAAAGGCTTCCAAGCTTCAACATTATTTGATGATAGATATTTATATCCGCCAATCAAGTTTACGAAATAGAAAAGACACTGACTGAGACCGAATAAGTGTTCTCGAACTTTGAAGCTACTTTTCAGTGGGTTGTGAATTGAGAGCAGTCGTGAGGTTATCATGAAGAAGAAATCAGCTCAGTGATTATGGGTCCAATTGTCTACTCAACAATGAACTCCAAGTCAAAAGAGAGTTGATTATTAACAAGTAGAAACCAAATGATCGAGGCGTGAAGAGACTGCCAGTTTTGATCTCCATATGGATTCACTATTCGACTTTTGGGAACAGTCTATTAGAATCTTACATTGTTCATCTATGGCCAGAGTTTTGATTCGCGTTTCCATCCAATAAGTGTAGGGAGAACTTAGAGATCCTCCACATTGCACTTATACTGTATACAGAGATATAAAAGAAGATCAGAATTAACAATAGATGACTAAAGCAAAGTGAAAGTTCAAGTGTATTAACGATTCAATCAATATTTGTTTAATATAGTAGAGCCAAGCATGGAACAGTATGATTGATGGTGGTTGACTTGAGTATCAAATCATTGCAGTATAAGTGGTTATAGCAGTATAATTGGCTATAACCACTTATTATCAGTAATCCTTTCCAAATGTATGAAGTTGAATGAACAGAATGGTACTACTAGGGAGGTACCTGCCTACTTTATATACCAATCTCAAACGAACAATCTCCAAGAAAGGCATATAATAATGAACTTGATTGGTACCCTCGGACGTCTGTCATAAACTTCACACCTCCTTTTCAGCAGGAACAAGGTCTTATAGAATAGAATAACTTATTTCCAAAACAGTTGATAGATTCAAATAGTTCACAACAGTTCACAACAGTTCATGAAGCTTGGACGAGAGGATATTAGAAAGTTCTCAAATAGGGAATAAGTCTGGAGTAAGTGGCACATGTTCCGAGGGCACCCGGAATTCACTCATAATCCCTCCACTAAAAATCAACAAAGTATCAAACTTTCTTCCCCCACACATAATCAAATCATTTCCCTTGAACTTACAACTGAACTCAATGATGTTCTGATTCCAAAGGGGAGAAGCTCGAAAATCTCTTCATACATCAACATTGATGATGGCTGAAAAACGTCGTCGCCGTGAGCATCAAAATATCGCAAGTGGAGGTTCATCATCAACAGGAGCGCCACGATCAGATTCATCACCAAGTTTTCTCAATTCTATTGACACACTTGGCGCACAACCAATATCTCTTTATGCTCCGTCATCATCACACCGACCACTCGGTACTCGTTCTCCTCATGTGTCCTTACCAATATCGAGCAAAGTCAATGCTCCTGATGGTTCTGCCACTGGATGCGTTGGAGGTAAACCAATCGCGTACATACCAAAAGCGTCGCAAGATGAAGGAAGAAAGGGCAAGGATCATAAGCCGGGAACCACTTCCAAGTCAGCCCGAGCAAGCTCACCCACCCTTTCACTTGACAACAAACCTCAAGATACAGGACCACTGCATAATCTCAGGTATTTAAAGTGGTATATGGGACCTCGATCCAATACCGAAAATCTTGAGCCTCGTGAGAGACAAGCTCAACAACACCTCCGAGGTCGTCTCAATAGAGCTGCACTTTGTATAAACACTCACTTTCCTAAAGAAGATGAGGAAACCTCCATTAAAAGCACCCATCAGAGAATTGACTCTTCCAAGCCAAGCAAAATCAAAGAGCCCTCTTCTAGCAATAAGATCCAGGATTCGACCGCAAAATCCGCTCCGACAACCAAGCCGACTTTGACTACAAAGCCAAGTTTGACTACGAGGACCACTTCTAACGATAAGAATCAAGATTCGACCACAAAGCCTGCTTTGACAACAAAGTCAAGTTTAACTGCGAAGCCCACTGCAACTCTCAAGCTTGACCCTCCGCAAAAGTTTCAGAATTTACCTTTGAAGCAGAACTATCAAATGTCAGAAAAGTCTCATCGTCAAACACAGAAGCCAATAAAGGTTGATACATTATCAGAGAAGCTCCAAGGTAATGCTTCAACCCCTAGTTCCGAGACATCACTTGCTACAAAGTATTATCGAGAATTATATCTACCTTCAATTGGACAAACTTCATGCGTTAATAAAATGAAAGAACCTGTCGGGCCGGCATTGCAATCATCAGCCCCAAAGATGGGATCTTCTCTCTCAGCTCCAAGAGGTTTGTCGTCAACACCGACATCCGCTCCTGCTCTAGCAGAAGCAAAATGTGGACCTGTGCTTGCAGCAAGCCATCCGTCTGTGACTGACCCCAAAGACAATGGATCATTCCAAACTCCTGGTGCTGTACCGTATAATTTGACTCCTTCTCCTCCTGACAGTGGACAAGAAAGTGATTACTGTGGGCCATACGGTGGACGGTCGACCTCTCCCTCTGACCATGGTTTCAATGTTGTTGCTGAGTCTCCCACGGCTCTGGAACTCGGACCGACTTCAGTTCCGGCCAATGAAAAGACTCCAACTCAGGAAACTAAAGCGGCGTCTCCAGCTACCGAAGAACATAGTCCCGACAGGCGAAATTCGATCGATACAAAGATGCAGAACACGGGAGATATAGCACAGTCTCCGAAGGTTGTAAACCACGCAACTTCTGCAAATTTTGAAACTGAGAGACCAGGATCGCACATTCTGGCCGACGAGGAGATGCAAGATTTGATCGATTTGACGGAACCAAACGTGATCACTGGCGCAGCTTCTCTGGCCTTCAAGAACCCCACCGCACACACTCAATCCGACGAAGAAATGTGGAACGCGATTGATTTGACCGGAGAGAAAGAAATGCGGGATGCAATTGATTTGACTGGAGAAGATGAAGAGGTACAGAAATCAATTGAGCAGGACGAAGATATGCCGGATTTGATGGAAGATAAGCAGAGCCATGTTGAGTGCCGCCCAGGCAAAGCAAATCATATGGGTTCTTCAATCTTCAGACCCGCCGATTCCACGGAATCAGAGATAGGATCTGAGCCAGAGCCAGAAGCTGAAGCTGAGGTTGTGCAGCGAAAATTTGAAGAGCAGGCTACAATCGATCTAACCCTGTCCCGATCACCTACACCCAAGCTCGACGATTTGCCACGGCATATCAATCAAATCAGTGCTGGCCTTGCCTCCTCCAGAATCAATAAAGTCGTCGCGGGAAAAAACAGAGTTTATGCACATGAAAATCGTTACCATAATAGTGATGGGCGCGCCCCCTCTGCAGACCTTGTCGGATCTAAGCCAAACGACAAGGTTCAAATTGATAATTCCATCAAAGACGAATTCGTTGACAATCAAAATGAATTACAAGTGATTGCATCCCCAGAGGAAAATGGACAAAGCAGCAAACTTGCAAACGACGAACTTCCAAGAAAAAGTTCCGGCCGCAACCAGAGAATTCCTTTACAATCAAAATCATCTACTAAGCATGTTGGTGTCGTTCAATCCCCTGAAACTGATGACTCCGTTGAGGCTAGTGCATCTTCTCAGGGCGACGCAATGGAAATTGATGAATGTACTGAGATTGGCACACCCGTCGAGGCTGCTACACCCGGTGAAGCTAAGAAGAAACGCAAAGGTAAACGCAGAGGAAAAGGAAAAGGCAAAGGCAAAGGTAAAGGTGATGCCAAGAATGCCAATGACCAAAATACTACGCACTTCGACGATCGACAATTCGGTTCTGATCTCGCTCAAATTCCTAGCGATTCTGAGCAGGACCCTCTCAAAGACCAGAGCGATAGGATCATGAGTGAGGCAGAAATCAAACAAGCAATACTGGACGCCCTAACCGTTCCGGTCTTTCCAAAGGCTCCACCGGAATCTATGGTCACTGACGAGAAAGCTTATAAGTTGGCCAAGGAAGGAGAATACTTTACTTTGTCGCATGCACTATTCAGTGTGGTTCCCAAGGAAGTGTATGACCGAATTTGGAAGGATGAATACGAACGTCCACAAATCAGCTTGTCCACCAAGACACCTAAATGGATTCGTCCTCTCGATCCTACAATTAAACACCCAGCCAAGCCGGAAACCAATTCTACTGAGTTGATCAAGGTTTTATGCGAAATTGAGAAGTTATTGATTTCTGTCTGGGTTGGAGTTGAGTCAATTGTTGTTGTATTGTATTCTGAGCTTGATGGTAAGTACCCCTTGCTTCTGTACACAACTTCTTGCTAATAATCCCAGACAAATTCACCTCACGCGATCTCGACGAGTATTTCCGTGTCTACCAAGTGCAGATCTACGATGGATGGACCGATCTTCATGCACACCTCCTTACATTGGCTGATTGGAAGGATCGATATTTTGCAATTGCCAATATCAAGAAGCGAGCTGCTCGTCCCAACGCTGATCCATACGCTCGTCTTTTTACAATCAAGAACCCATCTGATCTACTCTTCTACGGAAACATGGAATATCTCAAAGCTATGAAAGCTGCAATGAAAGCTGCTGAAGACGCAAATGATTGTGTGATGATGAAAGGCCCCAAATGGAAACATATGATCGGAATGAACAAAACTGTTATGGGCGAGGAATTTAGCAAGTGCCTTGACGGATTGAGGAAGTTCAATTCATATGTCAGAAAAAGAGACTGGGATGTTCCGGGAGCGCATGAGGATGACGCACTTCCTCCTATGATCGCTTCGAAGCTAGCTACCAAGAATGCGTCCAAGCAAGTCTCATCTAAGGGAAAGGAAGTTGCTGTTGAAGATGTTGTCCAAGAAAAGTAGGATCTCCTCCCGTAAGCATGAAACGTTAGACTGACATTGAATAGCTCTGGTGATCTGAGTGATGGCGATCCACCAGGATGTTACGAGGCCTCATCGAAGTACAAGGGAAAGCAAATTGTTGTTGAGGATGATACCGAAGAGACGTAGGACTTCCTCACCCCATGAACAGAAATATTGTACTAATATCAAACAGATCTAGCGATGTAAGCGACGGCGATCCACCCTACTACGAGGAAGACGACGACGAAGACAACGATTACGTCGAGGCTCGTTCTCACCGCCGTCGCAGTGGCCCCAAGCTCTCAGTACAACCACCCACTCCTACTAACAGACGTGCTTCCGGTGACATCCCCTATTCGTCTTCTCGCCGCATTTCATCAGGCAACGAGATGAAACTCGACAATGGAAACAGGGCTTCATCTACTAACCATTCTTCCCGTCATCTTTTACCCAAGGACGGCATTAAACCGAATAACGAACGTGGAGCTTCATCCGGCAGTAATGCAATGAAATCGAGCTATGAATTTACTAGAGGTCATCCTATTCACCGAGCCGGTTCCATCGTAACTCCGACTTCTGTGAAGACTGTCAAAAAAGGAGCAAAGCGACTTATGGTTGAGGTCGGTCCGAGCTCGAGCCCCAATGATCCCGAGGATTATTTCGAGACACCCTAGAGAGGCATCGCCAGATAGATCGTACTACAGCCAGTAGAGGATAAATTGCTATGAAAGATCCAAGAGATCTATGTGCCGTTGTGCTTATACCAAGGCCATTATTGGGAGTGTGATATGATAGTCTATGCTAGGATACGAAGATGATGTTCGACCAAAGTAGTCAAATTTTGCATATGGTGTGCCATAGCAACGTGGTTGGACAGAAATTTTGCCAACTTTTGTATTTCATAGCGGGTGTCTTGACAGTTGAGTTGAATCTTGACATTTCATTCAGCCATCCAACAGTTTAGCTTTTTGGCTCTACTGTGAGGTTGGCTGCAGATAGTCCCACAGGATAGTCAGAATACCTTTTGTTTTCGAGACGTGTGTTTTACTTCGTGATTATGAAATGAGATGTTTCAAAGTGACAAGCAACTCTGTAGCCTGCCCAAAACTCCGCCTCTCTGCATCTGGATATCCTCGTTAGATAAGTGCAATGCGAATGGACACTTCGGTATGAGTTGTATACAGTATATCATGAACGACACAAAGTCAGCCCGTAAGGGCGACTGAGGGAAAAGTATTTGTATTGTATTACAACAAAGTCCCCAATACCCCTCTCAAGTCCACCTGAGCTGAGCCAAAAGCAAATCAACTTTTCTATAGCACACTCAGCAAGCATATCATAGCATAGCAGAGAACTTTATCTATTTACACTTTTGATAGTACACCTTCATTCCTTCTTCGCTTAACTACTCATCCCTTTCATTCATTTCCTCTCAATACCTCATATACCCCTCAAAGTTCCATTGTCCCTCTGGTTAATTGGTGTATATCTCTCCTCAAGCGCCTGCTGCACACTCTTGTCCAACTGAGATGGACCCTCAAATCTCTCCCTCAAAGCCCTCTCTACATCCGAATCCGCAGATTTACTCGAACCTGAGATAAGCGCGACCTTTTCCTCAATTTTTTGCTCTGCAATTCCGACTGCTGCACCCGCCTTTTGCGCGTATCCTTTGCCGGCTTCGATGCCTCGAGAAACTGCATTGCGGATTCCACCACGAGCAGCATCAATTGTTCCTCCCGCTTTCCGTTCGATTTCAGGATACGAAGGAATTCTAGCCTCTGCCTCCTTCAACTTTTGCGAAGAAGCATCGATCGCTCCCCTTGTTCCAGCAACACCTCTTTCAACGCCCGCCACAGCGCCCGTAGCAACTCTCTTTGCGTCCTCTCTGGCCTCCTCCCTGAAATCTCTCAATTTCTCGCCAGCGATCTCTTCCCCATATTGAATACCCTCTCTGCTTCTCTCCAATCCTAATCCTAATGCCCTGCTAACGGCGCCTTCCATCTTCCATCTCACATCTTCCCAATCCGTCCTTTGGATCCACCGAACTGAATTCTCAATCTCGGCATTCCATCTATCCTTCGCAGCTTCAATAAGCGTACTTCTTTCTTCGCGGGCGAGTTCTGAGCGCGATTTTGGGGGTGGGATGGGTTGTTTTTCGAGGAGGGAGGTCAGGACTTGGGATTGGTGGTGTAGGTGGAGGGATTGAGAAGCGCGGTTCCGTTGATGTGCCAGGACGGTTAGGTAGGCTAGAGAGAGAGTCAGGGTTACGCCGCCAGTCTTGAGAGTATGTTAGTTAAGTCTCCATGGATTTGTAGAGGGCGGGGAGCTGGAGCGAGAAAGCTAAGAGGGGAACCATACAAAACCAGTAGTAAAACCCATATTGTCTTATACAAGTGCGCAGACAGCGCTGTTTGGTATTATAAAAGACCACTTATCTCTCAAAATAAATAGGAGAAGAAAAAAATCAATTGCCAAACTAACAGCCCGAAAGAGCGTCGTGCGATGGAATTATCTAGGATAAATATTATGTCGTTGATAGAAACAGATAAAGAAAGGCCCTCCACCAAGAATTTTGACGTTCGTCGTCACGGCCCGAAATCTCCAATCTTTCGGCCTCGCCAAAAGTTTTCCGCCTCGTCTGTGTTGCTCCCCTCTCCCCTCCCTCCACCACATAAATCACCTACGACCACCCATTCCACCTCTTCCGTTTCCACTCTACGAAAATGGCAGGCGGACGCATGAAATATCGCCATCTTGGCCGCACCTCTTCGCATCGTCAAGCGCTCCTCAGAAATCTCGTCACTTCCCTCTTCACCCATGAATCCATCTCAACTACATATCCCAAAGCGAAGGAAGCGCAGAGATTAGCAGAACATTTGATTACGTTGGGGAAGAAAAATACCGAGGCTTCGAAGAGAAGGGCATTGAGTATATTTTTCGTAAGTAATCTACTGTATTTCCTGGGAGAGATTGATTTCTTTATTTCTACATAAAAATATCAATGCATATATGTAAATACTAATCTACACCCAGACCCCCCACGATCTCCTCCCCAAACTTTTCGGACCCCTTCGCGAGCGATACGCTTCACGCCCTGGAGGCTACACCCGTGTTCTCCGTATCGAGCCTCTGAAAGAAGATCAAGCACCCTCCGCTATTCTCGAGCTCGTCGATGGTCCCAAGGATACCCGCTGGGCGATGACCGCCCGAACCGTTGCGCGTTTCCGCAAAGAGAAAATCCCAATGAATGATATCACCGAGAGGAATATTGAGAAAGTAACGCAGTTTCGCGAGGGGGGAGAAGAGGCTTTCGAGAGATTTGTGACGAGAGTGGGAAAATTGGGGTTGGGCAGGGACAAGAAGAGAGTAGATGTGCCGTTTGATGGGACAGGGGAGGAGGGAGTGTTGGAGGGGAAGAAGAAGAGGGAGAGGAGGTGGGGTGGTTTTATCTAGGAGATTGGCCTGGACTGGATGGATGGATGTCTGGACAGACTGGATGTGGTTTCTTGGTAGACTGGTGTCGGGATAGGACGGGGGAATCAAGGTCTACGTGCTTAAATGCGGAGGAATGTACAAACTAAAGACTCGAGGTCATGCGCCACAGCCAACGGGATATCTATTCTTCTCAAGTTGTCTCGAAACAAAGATGGGTCTTTATTACGAAAGTCAATGTCTTCAAGCGGATATGGAAAATGGAACGAGGGTTGACGGAAACCCAATCAAAGAAAATGGTCATGAGCAAATTGCGTTCATAAAGTACCAAATGTATATGTATAGAAGTATGGTTTGCATGTTTGCATGGAAAAGGCGTTTTCCATATCTATATTACAAGAAAAGATAGCAAAACCTGAATTAAGTAAACTAGAAAGGGTATTATAAGAAATCAAAAGTATCGCCTTTCTCCTTGATCATTTTGTTTACTCTTTCCGTGCCCGCAATTCTTTCCAACTTCATACTATCCCATTTTGAAAAGACAGCCCGCACACTTCCGTCACCAGGCTCCAAATCACCTTCTCTCACACTTCTGCCCAAATATCCTCCTACTATTTCCTTGTAGAAGATTGGGTTCTCGGGTATTCCATACATGATAACTTTTTTTACACCCCTAATTTGATATCGTCGGAAATGATGTGCTCTTTCTGTGTAGAGTAAAACATTATGTCTTCCACTGTAGAAGTGGGATCTAGCTCTTGCTACTTCTTTAGGTGTTGTATATTCTGATATACTACCGAATGATAAACTGCTTGTGGTAGCTGATGTTGAGAAATAATTTCTTACTTTGACAAAATCCATGTAGGAAGGAATAAAGAGGAGAGTTCCTGAGCTATCCTTGCTTCTACGGGTTAAAGTAGGAATTATCGCTGATGTGAAATACTCGAAACGTGATTGTGGATCCGAGGCAATTGATTCTGTGTCAATTCGGGAAAAGGTTTGCTTAACCTTTAATCCCAATTCTTGAATAGCTCCTGGATACGTAGAGGTGACTTTGGCTTTGCCTTCCCAGTTTTGAGACTGGGTATAAAACATGGTCTGAAGCTCTGGTGTGTTGAAACCCGCCAATGCAATAGTTTGACGGAAGTATTTGGCATTGTTGTCCAAATACCAACTTCGAACACGACTGAAATCGCAGCCATGAGCTTCCTTTGGCTGAAGGTTGAGATGGTCGAAAATAAATTCCACATGCTCCCAGTTTTGCATCAGAAGAGCATCCGCTTGATCAACAATAACCATCTCAATCGAACTGAGAAAGTCATGGTCTACTTTCTTCGCATCTTCATCTCCAATGGCCATTCTCAGACCAAGAGGACTTGCAAAAATGATGTCAGAATTGTAGAATTGAGAGAAATACTTGATAGTTTTTCTAGTAAACTTCAGACCAAGACGGAACATATCATCATCGTTTCCTGCAAAAAGTTCCTGGAAGTCTTCTGGTTTATCAGTAGAATAATTCTCTTCTTTGTCGACAAACGAATCGTTGAATCGTTTTCGATTTTCTTGTTGCTCTGGCTCGCATAATGAAGTAATCATATCAACCATTCTGACGCAAGATTCACGAGTAGGTAAAAGCATCAAAACCTTAGGCCTTGTGAAACCTTGATCTCGAAGTTCCAGATCATCGCTACTATCTTCTCTGGCAAGGCGAGAGTTATTTTTGATAACACGGTCTCGGGTCCTGAATATGTTAGATTGTGTTTGTATTGTAACAGGAGTGGGACTTACTTGAACACATGATTGACAGCATGAAGACAAGTCAGTCTTCTTAGACTTTCTGCATTAGATGTGTTTCGTTCAGTGAATAGTAAATCCTGATAGCCAAATAAAAGAGGAGTTAAAGACTTTTCCAATGCATCGAAAGTAGAGCGCTGTTTCTTAACGACGTTTGCCAGCTTTTGTTTCAACTTGAGACCCTCTGGACTACTGATAGTCATTGCCTTCATAGCCCTGGGTTGATCGTCACCGGGAATACTCGTGATAGCCGTTCCAACCTTTGCAAGTGATGACATTCTCAGAGCCCATTGTCCTTTTTCCAGATGTTGTAGTCTCCTTGATAATATGTTATCGTCTGGGTTGGCAAAATGAGCTTCGAATGGATCCGCTTTATCCTCTTCATCATCCTCAAGTATACCATCTGTTGCAGTTTCGGGTCCCTCCTCTTCCTCCTCAACCAGATCCGTATCGTTCGTATCCTCCTCCATCAAATCCGCGTCTTCGTCTTCTTTATCCTCCTTGTCAACATTGAGCTTCCTCCGTTTTGCTTGTGGTGCCGAATCGCGAGTAAAACTCTGCATCAAAGCTGTATAGGACTTTACAGCTGGCACTGGCTCATCATCATCATCGTCGTCGCTAGATTCCTCTTCACTTCCTTCATCCTGACTTGGTTCTTCGGATTCAGAATCACTTTGCTCGTCCCTGTATATATGAGCCAATTGTCTTCTCTCAACAATTGAGCAATACTTACTCTTCCTTTTGTGCTAATCTAGCACTGTCAAATACAGGCCTTCCTCTACCTCTGCCTCTTCCTCCCCTCATTCCACCTCTTCCTCGTGGACCACCCCTACCACCTCCTCCTCTACCTCTGAAGCTATTTCCACCGCCGCCGCCACCACCGCGACCTCCTCTAGATGTATTCCTCTGCCCGAATGCCATTTTTGCGTTGTGAAATATTAATGTAAATAGCAATACTGAATGGCTAATGCTCAATGGCTGGTACAAAAAAAGTTCTGGCGAATCCTTATCTTAGCGTCATCAGGGCTCAGGAAAAAAAGTTTTGGATCAAAGATCATGGGCTTTCAAATCAATGCTATTGTCAAGAACAATGTTAAGAAAACTTTCAATATACCCCTCTCAGATAGCCAAACCTAAATAGCCTACTTGTAACTATTTCCAGACTTTAATCAAGCACTTAACCGCAATATAACTAGAATCGAGGGGAAATTCTTTACAGTTTTAACGAAAGCTTATCTTAGCGCGAAATTAGATCCTTGCGCCGCGCCCACACAAAAATCCCACTTGCGCAACTGGTTTGCAATCGACGACGACGAGCCCATCCCCATCTCAGACCCTACCACCAACACTCGTCCGCCAGACTCCATACCGAATAATTTTTAGCCCAGCATGGCAGTCGGTACACAGTCCTTCCTTCACCTCGCGCGGCCACTCGCCCCAGCTTCCATTGGTGTTCAGCCCACAACCGCACCTTTAAATGTCATAATTCAACCTCAAGTACGATATTTTCCCTGGCCTAAAATTCTACTCTGCAGAGACTAATTAGTACAAAAATAGGCCGTATTCTCGATTCTCGACCATGCTATCCGTCGCGATACCAGTGTGACACAAACCCCCCGTGTTATCGGAGCCCTCCTCGGAATCCGTTCTGAAGATGGTATGGAATGTGAAGTCCGCAACTGTTTCGCCATTCCCCACACCGAGACCGAAGACCAAGTCGAAGTCGACGTCGAGTATCAAAAGAACATGCTCGCTTTACAATTGAAGGCCAATCCTCGCGAAGTTCTTTTGGGATGGTATACGACTTCTCTTGAACTCAACAGCTTCAGCGCCTTGATCCAAAACTTCTTCGCCAGTCCTGAGACCGGTACTTTCCCTCACCCAGCTGTTCATTTGACGGTCAGCACTGAGGCTGGAAAGGAGATCGAGGCAAAGGCATATATTAGTGCACCTGTTGGTGTAAATGCCGAGAGGGCAGCTGAGAGCTGTCTTTTCATCCCAGTACCATATGAGATCCGATATGGTGAATCTGAGAAGAGTGGCTTGGAGTTAATCTCTGGTGCCAAGGATAGCGAGAGCCGTGCTGCACCAGTAGTTTCTGATATTGAAGGTTTGGAGCGAGCTGTTGACCAAACCCTCGATCTTTTGGAAAGAGTATCCGAATATGTCAGTTCAGTCTTGGACGAGGAGAGAGAACCCTCAAATGCTCTTGGTCAATTCCTCATGAACGCATTGTCCTTAGCACCAAAGGTTGATGCTGCAGATATTGAACGTGACTTCAACAACCACATCCAAGATGTCCTGGTCGTATCTTACCTCGCCAATACCATCCGCACCCAAATCGAACTTTCTCAAAGATTGGCAACCGCAACTCTTACCATGGGAGGCTCAGATGTTCTTGCCGCAGCCGGCAGTGGAGAAGGAGGAGATAAGTCCGAGCAACGTGGACAGAGAGGTGGCAAGCGTGGAGGAAGAGGAGGCGGCAGAGGAGGCGGACAAACACGAGAGCCAAGAGAGCCCCGGGAACCCGCTGAGTAGTAGACGATGATAAAAATAAAGCCTTTCCATAATTTACAGACTTTGTGCATGTGGATGGAAAAGTATGGCGTTCAGGTAGGCTCTAGGCCAATTCTTATAGAATTTCAAAATTATGGTTTATGTCATTGTGTGTGCTACTATGGTCGGGAAATGTAGGCTGTAATCCATCATCTGCAAATACTTCACCATTCTCGTGTGATTGAGGTTACAGAACACCAAAGTTTATCGCGAAATGTAACTTAGCTACTGGTCGTCATGATGCTAGACAGTAAAGTAAGAAATTCAAGAAACTACATACCACATACCACGCAAGGCTTTCCACTTTCAGCAAAAATATGTCCTAGTGACCAGGAGATGCCAGAGCCACAACATATCAAAACGTGATCAAACACAGTGTGAGCTAACACCCACAAAGCCTGAAACATTAATAATATGAACAAGAATACAAGGATAGGATTCGGGGAGAAGAGGACGGAGGGGAGCTCCCTCAGAAGCACAAGGGCGTGCTTCACTCACCCCCTCCTCCCCCTTCGTTTAGCACCACTCTTCAAATATATAGTTAGTATCATATAATAGAACCATGAACTACTCTGGCCAATCACAATAACTCCGATTACCACTTGCTAGCACACATAAGCTTTGAGCACTTTGCATAATATTGATCGCAATCACATTCTTTTCTATCTATAGAGAATGCCCTGAGACGCTTTCACTACTGTTTATCGTACTTCATATATACCTCAGCACTAACATAGAGTTCCATACAAAGCATTCATATCATGCACTTCTTTAGTGCTGTAAAAATCAGTGCAAAATAAATGGTGTAATCAAATGTATTGTATTTGTAATCATAGGTCTATCAGCCAATATAAACCAGGTACTTAGAATGACTTTCGTTTTAATGCCCATATTTCCCACTAACTCCACCAATGCTACCATACGCCACCGTTTATTCATCACAGAACATATCCGCAATCCTCAAAAGACACCTAGACACCAGTTGGAGGCTTTGGAGGTAAAGTTGCTGGGTTGCCGAAGTTAGGAAGGTGGCTTCCAACTTGAGCATTTGGGACCATGCCCTGTGGCATTCCTGGTGGCATACCATGTGGCATAGTTTGTGGCAAAACTTGCGGTAAGCCTTGAAGATGACCTTGAGGAAGGCCTTGAGGGAGACCTTGCGGCATATTCTGATGCATCATTGGTCTATGCGCCATGTGTGGAGATGCATGATACGAGGGTAAAGAGCTATTAGACCCTTGTCTCGCCATGCTATAGCCCATTCCAGCACCGTACTGTTGCTGAGGCGGAGAAAAGTTGCTGTAAGAGAGATGAGGAGATCCATGGTGCGGGGAACCGTGGTGGGGAGATCCATGATGAGACATGGGCTGTGGGATAGGAAGACCTTGATTGCCAGGGACAAACGACTGCGTCTTTGGATTGAATGCGTGTCTGTTAATAAAACTTCCTGGAATTGGGTGTTGACTTTTAGGATCGGCTGGGTTTACCGTGCTGGGCAGTTGTCCAAACGCGTACGGGATAGTGTTAGGTGGTCCTCCTGCAACAGGTCCTCGCGATGGATACTGGCCTCCTGGGTATTGATTTTGTGGGATCCATTGTTGCGGAGGTTGAGGAGACTGTGCAGGTGTACCGTAAGTCGTGATTGGAGCACTATGTGGTTGGTAACGTGGCTGACTTTGCTGAGGAAATTGCTTATGGAATGTCAGTAAAAACATAGTTTAATCATTAAAAAATGATTTGACTTACCGGTGGTGTCATATTATTGTATGATTGCATATTTCCATTGCTCATCATAGCAGGATTAAATGGTTGCGGAGGTGGAGCATATTGAGGTTGTATCTGGTTTTGATAATTGTTTGGCATGACACCATTGTATTGCTGAACTCCCATTGCGCCGAAATTCTGGGTGGGGATCCAAGCTGGCTGATTTTGTTGTTGTGGAAAGTATGGAGTGTATTGAGATCGAACGTCGAAGCTTTCAGAGTCGTCACGACGCTGCTTTCCAACTTTACCCCTCTTGCCTTTATCCTTTGTGGAGACAGAGCTGGAACGCGACATCTCGTTACCCTCGTCAGTTTCTGTCCTACAATTAGCAATCCGATAGGATCTCAAGAAAAATGCTTTGGAAACTTACCTGGTGTGGCCTCGCCGGATTTATCATCTTTGCCGAAAATTCGTTCCCGGGCCGCAAGATAAACTGCTTCTCGCTCCTCTCGCGAAAGTCTTTAATTAGAGTCAGTTTCAAGTCAATTAGAGGGATATTAGATATCATACTTCTCTTTAGCGGACTGTGCCTTTTCTTTGCTATCGCTTCCAGTCTCGGAAGTAGCTTTCGAGGGGCTCGGTCCAGTATCACCATCACCACCTCTGCGCATGATCTTCATTGCAGGAAGATTGGGAGGTGGGGTGTTTCCAGTGGTAGGAGGATTGGAAATGCTTGTTAGTGATGGCGGGATCCTGCAAAATGGTGTTCGGAAGATACGGACTGCTCCAACTACAGCATCAACTTGATGTGTCATGTGGTAATAATCCGCCAACTTGTGAGTCAACATTCTACAAAATGAGTTACACGGTGGGAGATCGATAAAAGGTTCCCTGTGTGTGTATTAGTTAGGGTAGTAAAAGTGGTCATCCGGAATTTAAAACTAACTTGGAATCCTTCACAAACTCAATAACATCCTTCTCGAGACGGAGGAGAAAGATGCGGTCTTTTGGAGATTCCAATGCCTCCAAAAGTTTTTCATCAGGCGTCTGACGATAGAAGAGTGTGAATGCTGCTTCAGTTGAACCTGATGGGCCTACAAGCGGCTTGGACTTATCATCCGTAGTTTGCTGTCCAGACGATCCACTCTGAGGAGTAACAACGCCCTGGGTTTGACGCTCCTGCATGAGTTGTATACTACGTCGATCAGGGGCCTCATAGAACTGTGCACGATAAGCTCTTGCAGCTGCTTCAGATCCAATTCTAGAACCAGCAACAATAGAACCGCGACCCGAAAATGTATCATCATCTTCAGCTGCTTTTACGCTCGCGCTGTCATCAGGACGTAAAGACTCCTTCTCATCCAAAGCGAATGTTGTACCCGAGGTAATGCTCTTTCCATCCAGACTTGGAGGCTTTGTTCCTAGGTCGGACCCAGATTCTGTTCTCTGAAATGGATCTTCTGGAAATCCTTCTCCCAGGTCTCGTTTGTGGGTAGGAGGAGCAATCCCTGAGCCATTGACAACAAGGCTTGGTGTGATATCACGGATTTGCATCGCTTTAACCGCATCTGCCAAATCTGATTCCTTCTTAGCAGCCATAGGTTTGCTCTCGGTAATTGTCCTCTTCTTTGAGGATTGATCGTTTGTCGATGTGCCCGTCTCTTTGAGAGTGGCCATATTGCCAGTATCATTGCGTGTAGCACTAGGCATGTTTGTATCTTTGTTTTCATGTACAGTTGGAGCTATGTTTTCAGATCTCGTATCTCGTACAGAAGTTGAAGAAGCAGCAATTTTTGCGAACGAAGCGAGAGCTACATTATCTTTCCCAGCTGAGGCGGCAACCTATCGATGATGTTTGTTAGCAAAGGACTTAGATATGATAGAGAAGCCAAAGTCCACTGGCGACAAGTCATCAAGTGGGCTGAGGAATATCCAGTGGATTTGCGCACCTTTGCGAATGACAGCCTCGATGGATCTGTCGTCATTGGCGCAGTAGCCATGAAAGGTATGCTTTAATTGTAAATCAAATCGCGGAAATGAGCGTATATGTCCAGATTGGACAATGTCGAAATCCCAGGTTGGCAGAGGGGCTGTCGAAGAGTAATACCTTTGGAAGTGATGTAGATTAAGGAAGTAAATTAACAAAAGCGTTCAATGGAAAGAATAGACATCTGGTCATTGTCGTTGGGCCGACAAGCTTTTGTAAAATAGTAATTTGAATTGAAGGTTTCCGTCCTTTTAGAAGATTCGTTTCGCGGTACCGAATTGTATGGTGGAATACCTGATGTGGTTTTTGGTACAACCCACTTCCTTCAAAGATAATTGATACGCCGATACTCCTATTACCGACAAACTATTTTTCCCTTTCCAAACAAGTCTTGGGTATCAATACACCGAGAAGAGTTTGCCTGAATATTTAATATTCCGTTGGTATGGTCGGGATAGAAATTCGATGTTCACATACAGGAGATCTCAAGAATCTCCAAAGTGCATCATCAGATTGTTAGAAAATCAAATCAAGAGATTGATTGATTGTGCTGGCCGGGTGGTGTGGACGTTCATCGCAAGAGGTTTAAGGCTAAGGCTCCCCGAGAATTCTTTAGCGGGAATCCTGAATTTAAAGTGGGGCCATGGTTATTGACTACAATATGAAGGAATTCTTATTTTGTATTGATAGAAGAGGGAGAGGCAGCAGATGAAGCTGATGATGATGAGAGCGACGATAGGAAATATTCACCAAAAGAACAGCATCATTACACAATCCCCATTTGACTCAAAACTATACTTAAGTACACAAACTTTCCTTTCCAAGGTGGTTTGCTGAACTCCTTTTCTTGAACTACCTAGTGCTCTATTTCATTGGTGGTGCACAAACATTGATCGGATAAGGTCTATCGATAAGTTACTTTTATTTATATCTTGGTGAAAGCTCATTTGTAGCTTCTGAGATCCCCAGTGTCATTTATACACATTCGACTTTACGAGTCAAATCCACACTTTTAAAATACCCTCTTCACTATCCACTTACAACACCACCATCACAACAACAACGTCGTCAACACTACCATTGCCATTGCCGTTGTCATTGCTATCATGAATCGCTACCATGGGATCAACAGGCCTGTCACTATTGGGGGTCCTTCAAAAGCATCCGCTACAACTACGTGCCAGAAGTGCCTCAAAAAAGATATGTTTACCTTTTGGCTTACTTTAGATCTTCATAGCTAACTGTTCATTACGACACTATAGTTATGAATGCAAAGCAAATGCGCAAGAACGTCCATATGTTTCGCGACCCTCTCGTACACAACAACTTTCCAATCCCAAGCTTGTTCCAAAATTGACAAGTGATGTACCACAAGATCTTTTGAAAAAGTTTGTATTCCTTCTCGCATATGCCTTTGTAATTGTGGTTCCTTCTTTGCCCCCAACGGTTTCCCGTACATTAGTTTGGAAGGATGTTGTCAGGCTCTTAGTTCTCGTTGAGTCAATTGGGACATCGCATTTTTGGGGGCGCGCTTCAAATCAGAGCATTTGTTCAAAGTTTAGTCTACAAGGGGGCGAGGGCTTTGTGCTGACTACATATCATAGGAAAGGCATTGCCGATGAGCAACTTGCGAAACTGGAGCAGGAACGAGGTCGCAAACGCGAGAGACAAGATGAAGACATGGAAACGGGAGCTTCTAAGCGAAGAAGATCGGCTTCATCAGCATCGGTTTCGACAATATCTACAAACATGTCACGTTCGCCCTCACCGAGAGAAGCTCGTCGCGCGCCCAGCACACACAAATCTAGACGTTCCCATTCACCACCTCAGCCTGCGTCTAGTCGATACAAGCGTAGAACTCCTAGCTTGTCGCCGTCACCATCACCGCCTCGACAAGATGTACAGAACTCGGGACAAAAGCGGAGAAGAGACGCATCCTCTTCCGTAGATTCATATAGCGCTAGAGACGACGAAGATATGAGAGATTCGAGAGAGAGGGGAAATAGCCGAAGTACCAGAAAGAGGTTCAACGATCGAAGCCCTGAGATTCGTGGGAGGAGGACTGAGAGTCGAAGTCCCTATAGAGGTAGAAGAAATGTCTCAACTGATAGGAGACGATTTGATGAGCCCCGAGTAAACGAAGGGCGTAGAGAGACCTTCGCGTCCTCTGCAGCTCATGCACACCCACCAAGAGAGAGGAGCATGAGCCCTTTTAGCAAGAGATTGGCACTAACGCAAGCAATGAATATGGGCCGGTGAGCGTTCCGAAGGAGGAAGTGGCAGAAAATGGTTGCGCGGTTGTGAAATACCCCTTGGCTATCTGCCAACTTTTGTATCTATATTAAAATTTAAGACGCCCATACGCCTCATACTATGCCTGCCTGCCTTCATTTAAACGCCTTTTGTACAATCAAGTAATATCTCGAAGTGATGTTATTGTAAATCTTCATCTTCCTTCTCCCGTCGCTCTTCCTCCTCCTCCTCCTTCTCCCTCAGCTTGACTCCCTCCACCAAAGCAACACCTTCCATCCCAAGCTCTTCTCCACCCTCACTTGCACTTATTGCATCTTTCCCACCTTTCGATCTAGCCGCCTTTTGCGCACTCTCAATCCGTTCCCTCACTAGCCTCGCGATCGCATTCTCCGTCCGCACATTCAACACTTCCATTTTCTTCTCGAGGTCCCTCTTTAAATCCCAATTAGGTTTCTTGGGTTGCAATTTGAACAAGTCTACCCCCTTATCATCCTGCTCCTCTTCTTCTGCTTTCTTCCTAATTTCGTCCTCAACCTCTGCAGCCTGTTGTTCGAGTGTAGGTTTTTCGAGTGCTAATGTGGGAGGGGCTTCAAAACCAAGCTTGGGACCTTTAGTTTCAGGGTCGTAGTTACGTCCCGAGAGATGAAGCTTCGCGACGTCGGGAGAGGCAGGTGGTGAAGGTGAGCGCGTTGATTCTGGTGCTACAATCTCATCGGCTGGTTGCTTTCTTTTTAGGGTTTTGAGCTTTGCAAGTCGCGCTTTGCGCTCATCTGCGGCGGCGCCTAGAGTGGCATGTGTAGATGACATTGCCAGGATTTATATGATGTGATAACCTGGACGTGTAGCTGAATTGACGATTTTTGTATGTTCCAGTTACGGACAATTGAGAAGTTCAAAACAAATAAATTTACAGCCGGGAGAGATCTTGAAGTTCTAATGCGAACTTTGATTGGCTCACGGTAACCTCAGCCTGGTCATACCCCGGCCGCTAAGATAAACCTTAATTTTTTTCCCGGGCCCAAATTTTAAAAGTGTAGCCCTCTCTTATTACTGCCAACTGTATAAAGTGCCAGTCAATGGATTAGAAAATGCATGCCGGCAGCTGATGCCTCCATTTTCGAACTCTCTACCAAGACGATGGTCGCCATCGGAATTGCCAATTCTTCCGTTCCTTGCACCGAGAGTCTTCCAGCCATGGCCCTCCAAGAGTGCCAGAGTCTATTTGAAAACGAAAACGGGACGAAACCAAGGCCATGACGGGCATGCACGATCAACAGTGGGGAGGGGGGAAGATACATATTCAAAATGTCTGGGAGGTTCATCACCAAATGTGCTAGTGCAACCTAGCACAAGATATGCTAAATTCAGCAAACGACGAACAACCCCCACTTCCTTCGCCCGTATAGACATTCCTGATCATAGGTCTATAAGACGCTTTTCTTCGAAAGGTAGTCTCGGGAGGACAACTGAAAGCAATGGAGACGGGTCGCCTACTGAAGATCACTCAAAGGCTCCATATGAATCAGGATCCAATGGACCATCAGAGTGTCAGCTGAGTCCCGCCGCATCAACGAGTCAAGACTCTGGGAAAACAGAAGATTCTATGAATATAAGTTCTTCATTGAGACCTCGTCGCGTGCGATCAACTGCATCATCGTTTTACCGTCCAGGCATACATCTTGATACACATAGTGTGCCTTCTAGACCGGGAGCACTCCATTCGCGATCAAGAACTATTCCCAACAAGATCCATTTGTATAATCAGGATGTTTATACGTCATGCAATTTCAAGCCGAGTCGCTCTGGAGACCCTACTGCTCTTCCTCTACACAAGTTGTCGAAAATTATGCCTCAACAACCTTCGTCAACATCACATCTTTCTCCACAAATCAAGATACTACCGGAAAAGTCTAGCAATGAAACCAATTCATCAGACCAGCCTGTCGCCATTGCGGCAACGACAAAATCCACGAGAACTCATCACAGATCTACCAGGGATAGATCTGAAAGACAGGATCCGCCGGCTACAGGGTCGCGCCTCAAAAATAACCTTCCGAGAAGATCACTTTTTTTCCGACGACCTAGTGGGTATAAATTTCTCCGTGAGAATCACCGACGATCGAAGGGTATACTGTCTGTCAATAGGAATATCTCTTTGAATCGGCGACGCCTACACTCTGAGCGTATCACAATCGATGCAGGATTGCGCCAGGAATTGCTTGCTCATAATGAACTTTGGGCCCAGCAACAAGGCCTTCCAGAGCTTTCAACCAAGTATCTCAGAGTAAAAATGGATGCAGGAGCCAACATTATGAAGTTAAAAACGTGGAAATGGTCTTCCCAATTTGCCATTATTAATCAACGACACGAAGATGCTTTGAGGGGGTTTCCTAAGTTAGAGTACAATAATGTTGCTGTGTCGAAGTTTCCCCTTGCATCAAGGTTACTATTCATAAAGCAAGACAACGTCGCTGCCCTAGCTGCAATTTGGCGTCGAGTTCCCACAGAGATCCGTTCTCATGTTTGGGAGGAGCTTATGCTTACAGCGATGGACCAATATCCTGCATCAATTCTCAAGTTACTACTTGCAACATATCAAGCACCATGTTTTCCCCCTGGGTGGGCCGCAAATGACTGCCTCGATTTTGCAGTATCTCATTATTTTGGGTCACAAGAGCACAAACCCACTCCAGAATCTTTCACTGCCGAGGACCTTCGACAGATATTTGAGACTGTACAATATCTTCAGCTTCGCGGCCTCCGGCTGAGTGCGCGCTCAATCTACTTGTTGCAATTAATGATGAATGACCAAGAATTTAAGACGTTCTATCTCATACTAACGCGCACAAGACAGCATCTCACTGGCAAGACCTTACTACGATTTGCCTATCGTTTTGCACGGTCTCGCCAAACAGATATGGCTTTCCAAGTACTGCAGCAAGCAACTCAACAAGGCATTGATCTAAACCTTGAAAGATGGCCGCAAATCTGCAATGTGCTTCTTACCGGCAGATATCGTGACTACGATGCGCATGTTACTGATACAGAACTTTTTGATTTCATGCTACATCACGGTCTGAAGCCCGGGATTGTTACATACAACATCTTGATCCAAAATTCACTTCAAGCTGGAGACCATCTTACGGCGTGGCAAATATATGATATGATGATTGAAAATCGAGTAATGGCGGACGCCTACACCTATTCAATCATGCTAAATGACGCCAAGATTCGTGGGGATGACGTTGCGGTCGAAAAATTGGCGCACTGGATGAGTGAGGACAGTGTTCGAAACAGTTATACTGTCACAGACATATTAGACACAATATTTCGCTTACACAGGCGAGAGTATTTCAAGCGCGCCCCCAGTGAGAGAAGGTCTCTTCAAACCCCATTCTCACAGATGCTTCCAATCTATTTGAAGAACTTCGAGGTGGAACCATTGGCTCAAATCATACCTAGATTTCATGAGAATTTCTTAGGTCTGGGGTCGACGAGTCCTGAAGATGGTGTAGATGACACCCGCCCTGACATCCAGGGTCGTGTGGAAGAAGACCAACATCATCTCGACTTGTCTGTTACAAACCAACCCGAAACTGCCATATCACCCCTCGAGTCCGCTGCCGAAGACGCTCTTCTAGAACCGAACTATGTGACCTTAATAGTGATGCTGAAATCATACATTGGAAGCGTTCGGAACTACAAGGCTTTATTGAGATTTTACAACCATTTTAAAGCCCTGATAGCTGCAAGAGATCCAATAGTCGCTCCTCTATTGGTAAAGGCTCAAATATACAACCACTTGCTCGTTGGACTTGGCCATCTCGATGCGCCAATGCACGACTGTCTGAAAATCGTTGCTGATATGCAAGCTCCGCATTCCAAACCAAGGAACTCGGTAATTGAAAGTGAGATTGGTCAATCTCTTGATGAAGATGATGTTGCTGTGGTTTCAAGTAGTCCGGAACAGAGCGATATTGATTTTGAGTCAGATGATGCATCTTCTGATGTAACTGACGACACTTTCCAGCCACCCCCTCCAAGTCTTCATACATGGACTACATTACTTAATGTATTCATGCAACGTCATCAACCTCGTGCAGCCGAAAAGGTGTTACAGATCATGATTGAGAAAGAAGGTTTGGAGCCCAATCAAGCAACATGGAATGCATTGACCATGGGCTACATGAGACTCCAAGATCCACAAATGACCGCAGATGCTCTTATTCGAACGAAGCGGGCCGGATTTACTGTCGACCATATTATGGCAAGCAGGTGGTGGCTCAGATTCCAAGCTAGAGCTCGTCTAAGTGAAGCCTTGCAATCTGCTTCTGGTGGCAATGAGACATCACTGGCAGATGTAGCCAATGCTATGGAGTCTGAGTCCGAGATGTCACATCCGGCTGAGGACGATATCATTGATGAAGAAGTTTTGGAGGCTACCACTTCTAGAACAGGAGACATATACCGTATTCTTAAGCGCCGTCTACAAGCTGTCAATTCTCCTGTCTATCCTAATTGGATCTTTGACGCTATGATCCGGGCCGGCGAAGAAAATGTTATCGAGCCGGGAACAGAGCCAATAAGCGATGAAGTAGCCGAATTTCAAAGTGTATCGACTGAATCTTTGGATCAACTAAGTGAACACATCAATTGTCGACGATGTGGCTGAGTCTGAATTGGTATCGGCTCAATCTTCAGACAAGTCAATTAGTGTCAACGAACAGAATCCAAGACAGCTTCTAGACAGTCAAATAGACGATCAAACTGAACAACGACAACGACAATCAGTGATTGAAGACAAAAGAGAATCGAGACTGCTACCAACCAATAAGCTACTATTCCAAAGAACGAAACAATGGATAATGACGCCTGGAGTAAAAGCTTTCCGCCGCAGTTCTCAGGAAAGGGAGTTATTGCAGGGAGTAAATCATGTTGACGGCTATGATAAAAATGATAAGGACCGGCAATCTTGAAGATGTGAATATTGTATTACATATCTAGATGAGAGAGATCAAAGCTTGTGATTTTTATATATGCCACTTTTGCATGTATAGATGTACAGGGCTAGAGCTATTCGGGTTGCTTTGAATATAGACTTCATCATGAGCTGGGCAAAGTGTAGCTTATTTCATTTACTTGTGTGCAACTATGTATTATACCTTATGATAGATTAGACGAATTAGAAATTCATCTCCTTACCATACTAATGGATGCTGATTCTATTGATTTCTTCTCATCGTTGAGAAAACGATCTTTGGCGATTGGCGGCGAAGACATCTTTCGTAAAGGTGCGCCCGGTGAGCTTCATGCATATTCACATTCCCGGTGAACCCCTTTTTGAGCTCAACCAGAGTTTTTATGCGAGACTCATCGATAAGCACGAGGGGTTTCTTATCAGATATGCCAAGCATTTGGTGGGGTTTTATTTACCTTATGTTCTTGTAAGTCAAATGCAACTTGAAGCTGTCAATTGAGCAATTAAAAGATCAATAACTTCATCATGCCAGACAAGGACGCAGGTACTCCAAGAGTCTTCCTCATTAGACAGTAAGTCTTTGCTCTACTAAACCTATAGAAGCTTCAAGTCAAACATTCTCCATTGGTCACATATTAATCTTATACCCCGATATAAATTGGATGGATAATAAATGCTAACTCTGTGTCAGTGGTAAGTCACTTTTGGCTCTTTCAATGTTATAGTTCACACCTGCATAATACATCATTTAAACTCGCACATATCCATTAGAGATCTCAAGGTTTGGACAGTCAAAATTCTAACTTCATCATCTCCCAGGCGAAACAGAATGGACCATCTCAGGCCGCTACACAGGCCGAAGTGACATCCCTCTAACTCCCCACGGAGAAACCCAAGTTTCCTCGTCCGCTGGCGTCCTAGTCGGTCCCTCCAAAATCATCAATCCTTCAAAGCTCGCGCACATATTCATCTCTCCCCGAACCCGCGCTCGTCGCACATTCGAAATTCTCTTTGACGAAAAAACACAGCAACAACTTGCAGATAAAACAGAAGTCACAGAAGATATCAGGGAATGGGAATATGGAGCTTATGAAGGACTACTCACTGCGCAAATCAGAGCTGCACGTAAGGAACGGGGTTTGGATGCAGAGAGACCGTGGAATATTTGGACTGATGGATGTGAGGATGGGGAAAGCGCGGATGAGGTGAAGGAGAGATTGGATGGAGTTATTGCGAAGATTAGAGAGATGCAAGGTCCGTATATGCATGGGGAGAAGGGGGTGGATGTTGTGTTGATTGCGCATGGACATATTTTGAGAGCGTTTGCGAAGAGATGGATTGGGTTCGAGCTAGGAAGAGCGTTGCCCATGATGCTTGAGCCGGGAGCTGTAGGTGTGTTGAGTTATGAACATCATAAGGTTGATGAACCGGCATTCTTGTTGGGTGTGAATATGGGTGCCAGCGAAGAGTAAAAGCTTCAGTTCATGGGAACGACTAGACTGCATATTAAGTAGACATAGATATTAGAGCAACTGCTTTAATACACGCCTGATGTTACAAATTCTGGGTATCATGATTTCCGTTTAAATGTGTATAAGAACAAACCCTCGCGAGTAAAAGTATCTCTATCCTGATCCTCAATTTCCTCGACTAGGAACTTCTTCTTTGCTTTCTTCATAAATTGCATATCTGCCTTCCTCCTCTTCTTGAAACAGAAGTAAATAACCGCATTCTTTGATAATTCCAATAGCTCTTCGAGCGTCTGAAGTAGTAATGGAAATGCGGGTTCAAAATAGACGCAATCAGCTGCTAGAATAACATCTGGTTTATCTTTCACTACTAGCTCTGGTAATGGTTCACCCCTGTTCTAATCAGAGTACATTCATAGACAAGCAGGAGATTTTCAAGCATACCAATTCAAGATCAACGGTTCGACTTTCGAAGATACTTCGTTAAGAGCAGTATTTTGCTTCATGAGTTCGTACATAACCTCCATGTCGGAAAGGATTAATGGGTGTTGAAGATCACATGCTAGAGCTACAGCTAACCCGACCAATCCACCTCCAGCCCCGAGTTCGAGTCTGAATCTTGGTTAGCTCTTGAGCTTTGAAGTGTGCTGTGCTTTGTATATGATGTTGTAAAGTTCCAGAATTCGAGTCACAATTTTCCTTTTCCGCATTCCTTTTTACCCTCACCATGTAACACCTCTTCCAGATCTCTCGAGATATCAAAGAGGTCGAATTATATTATATAATTGTATAATATCATCGTAAGTGCATATCACTGCGGAGGAAAGAAACAGCACATGACTTTTACCAGGACATCAAAAATCTAGAAACCCTTCCACAAGATGATTTTTGCAGACTCCAAAACGAGATGAGATATGAGATGAAACTTACATCTTCGCATCCTTCAAAGCATCTTTGTGATACCGTAGCATGTGCTGCGCAAGTACCATACCCGCAGGCCAGAGTTGACCACCACATCCTTTTGAGAGATCTTCGTGTAGTTTTAATGGGGGCTCGAGAAGACCAGAAAAGTTTACGGTGCTGGTTGTGGCCGCTTTGTAGGTTGGAAGAGGAGCGAGATCAATTCCTATTGCTAGGGGAGAGAACTCCGGGGAGGGAGATCTGGAAGAAGTCATTTTGGGGATTCGAAATTTTTGGACACCCGCGACAACAATATTCATGCACTTCTGGACTGTTGATGTTGCCCCACCATCCCACCATGAATTCTGCCGTGTTATATAAGCCATCTCGCCTAATGTGGTTCACCGTCTTGGAAAGAGTTTCAATATCCCTTCATCTGTTCTCCCTGTGACAACCCTTTTTAAAACACTAAAAGGGCATTTCCCTGGCCTGGACAATTGAATATACTCGGCAAGGAATGCTAAGACCATCGAATAATGATGCAGGATTTGATGAAGTCTACAATCAATGAGCTGGTGAAAGATTCAGATAATCCTAACTACTCTCTCAGTTTGAATCTCCCTCTATTGCTATCAAAACCCCAGGTAATTGTCGGTAATTACCACAGATTACATCTTGTCTGGAGAGTAACTGACCTAGGTATATAACTTTGAAAGATCTATTTGGGCCAGTTTCTTGACAGTGTTTCTGTTTCCTTGAACTTGCCACAGAATGTTGCTAGCTTCGATGGGGCTGGTCAATGAAATTTGACTCTGTATAGCCTCAAATCAGCATGTCAACCTCCATAAATATCTCAATTGTCTGGTAAGGCGGGGGCATGATAAATTCTTATCCCTTACATCTCGATGATTCTCGAATTTCAGGTAAGGTGATACCGATAGGCGGATCTCCCTCTACTGCGCCTTTGGAATATCTGGCGATGGCAAGTCCATGATATCTAGCTTTTCCTATGTCGAATTTCTTCTGCCAGTCGCCGTTTTCATCCAAAGGTTCTGTTGACATGTATTATCTCTCATTCTGTATGCAAGTAGTATCTTCATCCGGACTTTCTGAGAATTATATCTGCAAGACTCTCTGGATATGGCATTGAGGATTACTTTGTCTGGTATTGCTATCTTCGGAGCAGTCGTTGATGCTATACCATCTATCGCATACCCGATCAATTCTCAGTTCCCTCCCATTGCGCGCGTGTCAATACCTTATTCATATACATTCCCGCAATCAACATTTACTTCAACCTCCCCTCTCCGCTACAGCTTAGCAGACTCGCCTCGATGGCTCTCTATTGATAGTACTTCTCGAACATTATCGGGCATACCATCTAGTAGTGATACTGGCACTGGAACTGTAACGGAGGTTATCTTTGGAGTAATTGCAAGCGACTCCTCGGGATCTGTGACGTCGAATACTACTCTAGTAGTGTCCAAAAACTCACCACCGACAATTAAAATCTCAGCCCAATCACAACTTGCTTCAGAAGGGCCTTTCTCAGCACCATCGACGTTATTATACCATCCTTCATCATCCTTCGAGATCAGCTTCGACCCGGCAACTTTCTCAAGTCTTAGCGGAACAGCTCTTAAATACTACGCTTTAACAGTCGACGATACACCTCTGCCTTCATGGGTTCTTTTCGACGAGAACACCCTTACTTTTAGCGGTCAAACACCAGAATATGCTTCTCTCATACAACCACCACAGACTTTCGGAGTTCAGCTTATTGCTTCGGATGTGTCAGGATACTCTGGAGCATCGATTCCCTTCAACATTAGAGTTGGGGTACATCTACTAGCATTTAGTACGGTAAACTCAGTTGTGAATGCTACACCAGGAGTGGAGATCAACTACACAGGTCTGCAAAACAGTCTTCAGCTTGATGGGCAGCCCGCCAATGCTTCGAGCATAGTCTCGATTACTGCTCAAACGCCCGAATGGCTTGACTTCGATAATACTACTCTCAGTCTGATCGGCACACCACCTTCTGATGCCATTTCGTATAATGTCTCTGTACAGGCTGTGGATTTATACGGGGATCAAGTTAATACTGTTGTGCTCATCAAGATAGCTACAGCGTTATTTGTTGGTCCAATCAGAGATGTGAATGCAAGTATCGGGTCTAAATTCTCTTTCAGTCTTGGTGCTTATATTGGAAACAACTACGATACTACATTAACGGCACAAGTGTCTCCACCAACAGATTGGATATATTTTGATGCTCATAGCTTCAAGATATCGGGAAAGGTGCCTACAACTGCTAAGCCCTCAAGCATCAATATCACGCTTACGGCAACCTCCAAAACATCAAAACGCTCTAGCTCTGAATCTTTCAATCTAGCCATTCAAGAATCAGATGGCTCCTCGTCCACAGGTATTCCACCGTCATCGGGCACATCTGTAACATCTGGTGTCAATTCACCTGCGAGCGGAAATTTGAGCAAAGGAGTGATAGCAGCAATTGTGGTTCCAGTATTGATTGTCTTTATCGCACTTATTCTCTGTCTGTTTTACTATCGCAGAAAACGTTCTAGTTCCCCATTACGTTCAGGAGGACCTTCCAAAGAGGATATTTCAGGTCCCATAAGGAACACATCCAGCATAGAACGAGCATATTCAGCTAAAAAGATCGCACCTCTGCAGCTCGATACCTCTGGCTTCTCCATCGATGCTAGTTCTAGTATTTACACATCAACTACTCCTAATATCGTGGTTCACGACAATCGTAAATCTCTCCGACGCTCACAAACATTGGCTCCAAAGTCGAATTTTCGCGAATCCCAAAGCTTCGGAAATAGGGCGCGTGCAAATTCAGAAAATGCACTGAGTAGCACTCCGAATCGGAGTATATGGAGAAATACACAAGAAACCGACTATACCTTGGATAGTTCGAGAACAAATAGTACTAATATACTGCAACGGAACTATTCGAATTACTCACGGAAAGGACATACAAGACGATCGCAATATGTTGTGGGTAATCATCCAAGGTTAAGGAATAGTGAGATGAGCCAACTTGGCAATCAAAGTCTCTTTGGGACCAACCATTCTGATGGTACGATATTGAACTTGACGGATAGTAATTTCTCAACTTCTCCTCTGGATAACTTCTCAGTGTTATCAGGAGATTGGAGTAAAGCAACCCGAGCACCTCTTGCACCACGACAAAACAAACAAAGCCAGAACAACGAGAAAAAACGAGCCCATCGTAAATCCACAATGCGAAATCTCAATTTCGCATTGACAGAAGGTGTAGATAAACGGTTAAGTGGACTTGGTCACGGAGCTCGAGAATCCATTTCTTCATTCGATATCTTGAACACACCGGGTCGTAGAGGAAGCATTGGACATGGTCAACATCCCAGTCTCGCACGCAATTCTCGCACGTGGAAAACGGTTCATACTCTGGACACGGATGTTGACAAACATCGCAGTGCAACAAGCGTATACTCAACCATCTCCACTGATCTTCTGAAATTCGGACACGCAACGGTATCGCCAAGTGGCGGCAATGAAATGCTAAGCATAAAACCCGTACCTAAGAGTCCTCGGGCCCCGGCACCAATCTGGGAGTCGGAAACAGGAGGAAATAGTAGAATGTCGTATAGTAGCATCAACACGCGACCTGTTTCTCGTCGCGGAGGCGCATCTCCTTTTTTCAGCGGTGGAGGAATGGCTTCTGTGCGTCGTAAGGCAAGAAGAAGTTATGCGGATTCGCCAACTGTGCCGGAAGAGGTACATGTTGGCGATGAAGTACAAGCTGCTGGTACGGGCGTCAATAACGATTCGTTGGGAATAACATATCCGAATGGATATTCGAGCGCTAAAGAAGGAACCAGACAGTTAAGATCGTATATCCAGGCTACGTTCAGCAAAAGCAGATTGAAGGGGAGTGACAGTTTGGTTAGCTTGGACAGTAGATTCGAGAGTGCGAGTCCGAGTATGCAGGAATTACAGATTCGTCAAGAGCAAGTGCCTACTTCGGGAAACGTGTCTCAGAGTCAGAGTAGGCATACGCAGCTTTTAGAAATAGATAAGAGAGAGCGAGAACGGGAAAGAGAAAGAGAAACAAGACAACAAACCACGGAAGCCGAAAATGGCAGCGACATCCTCCCCAGCGAATTCAGCGCCGGCAGCTGGGAAAGCATGGGCGAAAGCACAGATGTCGATTCGCAGCCAAATTTCATACGACACAGCACTACCACGACGATTCCCCAAATCCCACAACTTCCCCATTTAGGCGGCAGTATCAGTGGATCTGGAATCGGAGTAGGAGGTGCAACGGCAAATACAACAAGAGGAAGAAGTTCCACACTCGCTATCCCGCACTTTTCGCCATTTTTATCGAATCCGTATACTCCTGAGCTCGGGGATCAATCTGCAGATTCTATCTGGAATGAAACAAATCAGAATACATCGTTACGACGATCTACAGAAGCGGATTTGAAAGGAGATGGTTATTACACTTCGGTCTCACATCCCCACTCGACTTCCCATTCTCATTCCAAAGGGCCCTCTCAAAAAACCGAACAAACTCTCCACGAAGCACGCGAAGAATCCCCTACGATGGGAAATCTGATCGTAGGACCTAATGCACGTATGGTGAAGGGGGCGGGAAGGAGACCGATAAGTGTAGATGCGAGGGAGAATAAGAGGATTGGGAGTACGAAGGCGAGAATTGGACGGCAGACGGAGGGGGTGGGGAGTGAGGGGGATTTTAGCGCGTATATTTGAGTTTTTGTTTGAGGGAGGAGAAGAGGGAGGGAGGGCAGGGGTAATTGGGATTTGTGTTTGCGGGATGGATGGATGTTTTTGTGTTATCTATTTTGTGGCTTGGGATGAAGGGTTAGGGAGTGAGACTGAGGGGATGGATAAGATAGGATAGAATATAATAAGATCAGATATGAAATGAAATGATACATTATGTTATGAGAGATGTGAACTTTGAAGCGATCTCAAGCATGTCGTTATGAAAACTACCACTCAGTCACCTAAGTCTTGAGTATTGATATCAAAGTATTAATTAGCATTGACATTGGTATTAATATCTGTATGAACAAGAATAAAAACAAAAACAATAACACAGAAAATAGCAAGATCCCAAACCACAAATCCGAAATCAGAATATAGTATCTATATTCGCATCTGTATTCCCATTCCCATTCCCAGTCCCATTCCACCAGGACACCCATCTCCCACAACCTAACCACAACGATCTTCTCGCACAAAGTCAAATGCTACGAAGTATCCTCGTACCCGCCAAGGTGACAACACAAATACAAAACATATCACACAACGAATGCAAGCCCGCCTGCAAGAAACAAATCACAAAGAACAATCAAAGTCTCCACGAGTCAAATCCGTATCTACATTCATTTACATCGATCCTTGAAAACACGTTCAAAAGAAAAGTAAAGTATCGTGAGGAAGGATAAGAGTGAGTATTATGAAGACGAATCGGTTAATTACAACTACCTAGGTAGATGTATCAATGAAATTGAAATTCGTGAATAATCATCAGGAAATCCATCCATTCATTCATTCATTCATTCATTCATCCCTTCCTATTCATCCTACTTCATCAACCCCCTTTTGTAGACAAAAAAAAAGACAAGACAAGAAGATAAAAAATCAAAAAAGCAAAAAAGGATCATTGGGGTATTCCGTATATCCATCCATTCCCTAAACACCCCTAAAATACCAATTCCATCGTATCGTATTCCCGGATTATCAAAATCTCGCTATTAACCTTATCCCATCCTACGCTATGCTATGCTATACTTTTTGAAAAACTGATCCATCCATCTATTCCCGCCAAATTGGCACGCTGCTCACGCCAAAAACTGTCTACCTTCCAGCCCCTGACTAAATCCTAGTAAACCTCGTTACATTACTCGCAACACTATAGATGCTACTTCTGGGCGCAGGCGGGGGTCTCAAATTCGCAGGATGCATTGCGGTGGGAGGTCTCTCGACACCGGGAACGATAGGACTACTTCTATCCATTTTCTGATGATCGTAGCTTTCGCCGACTTCGAGATCTGGGTGGAAGGGTTGCGGGTCTGAGATGACGGGTTTGGAGATGTGGATTTGCGACGCGCGGAGAGGGAGACGGAAGGGGAAGCGCGATTTGCGACGTTCGGCGGGATTGCTGTAGTAGGAGGGGAGGTCGTTATTGATGGAGGAGGGGAGGGAGAGACGCTTTTCGTAGGGGTTGGGGGTGTCGGTGGCGCCGTGGGCGCGGAGTTGGCGTGCGGTTTTGGTTTTGGTGGTGAAAATTTGGGACTGTGAGTGTGTTAGTGGATCTGTTACAAAAGGGTAGAGGGAAGAGGGGTAGGAGGAAAGATAACTTACGGCAATACAATTGATACCTCCTAGAATAGCTGAAAGACACCCTGAAGAAATAACCACACGCCACATAGGTAATCCTAAGTTTTGAACGGAAGTGGCATTCTTGTTCAGGTTTCCGAGGATATTGAAACCCAGAGCTAACATGGAGAGACCGAGGAAGAGGAAACCATTGTGGGGACAGAGGAGAGGCCAGTAATTCTCAAAATATTTCTTGAAGAGGGAAAGCTCTGAGATGATAAGGAAGATTCCGATGGAGCTGGTGATGAAGTGAGAAACTCCATCAAAGAAGAAGAACTAGATGAGGTGTTAGTTGGGTATTGATATAATCAATGAGGGAAGAAGGGACTTACATTAGAGGTCTTGACGGTCATGACAAGCATGATCCAACTTGCTGCGATAACATCGAGGAGTGCTATAATGTTCATAACACGAATGATGTTAAGAACAACGAAGCCTCGACCGGCTTGTTTGACGTTCAACATCGTGACTGTTTTGTATTAAAGAACGAATATATGTATAAAGTTCGAGTCTAAGAATGTGTTAGCCAAGTGTCTCGAGTAATATCCAAGACAACGTCAAGAAAGAACTTACAATTGGGGTTAAGAAGCGTAGTAGTGAACTGCCTGCAGTAGATAGAAGAGCTTTGAAATACTTTCAAAGTATGTGTGTAGTAAAAATTAAGTATGAAACTTTGTAAACAAAGTTGTGTTGTATAGTTGTAGTTGTGTATAGAGCTTTTAGAAAGATCGTGAAGAAGTGTATGATAATTTTCAAAGTCAAAAAAGTAAGAAACAGATTCAGAATCTCAAACAAGAGGAAAAGAAGATATATTAAATAAAACAATTGTTCGTTATTGAAGTCCCGACTTCATTGTTTGAATGATTCTAACAATAGAAATAAAGATCTCTTCGAAATAGTCCTATTGTCTTCGTCAATAGACAATAAGCACAAGAAAACGAAAAGGTGAATGTATATGAAGATTGAAAGAAGTATCCCCAAAACCCTTTGACTCAAACTTTGACACCAAAAGATGTAGTAGCTATTGTGGGGTGAATGAAGTCTTTGTTATCCCATTATTTCCCAAAAGATGAAAGGAAATCCAATAACATGTAGATTACCTAGAGATTCTTTGACCATTATGTACAACCTCTAGAACTTATTCAGAAGAAAAATCCAGAAAGGCCAGAAATGAATGGATGAAAATAGGTAAGGTTTGATCACCCAAACTCGATTTGCTTCAAGAGAACTCCTCTCTGGCGCGAAAGAGTTGAAAAGACGCGCTTGACATCGACCATCGTAGTAACAAAGTTACCTCTTATCCAATGAAGTAGAAAAGCAATGCATGAATCGATTGTTAAGTCAGAGGGAGGTTTGGAAATAGCTCTGTTTCGTGATATAAAAGTAGAGTTCCAATCATTGGATGAAAAATGGCTTTTGGGTAAGGGTGTTTCATGATTTGGATGTACGGGGTGTGGAAAGAAGAGAAAGAAGAGAAAGGAGAGAGAGCAAGAAGAATAAAGAAACGTATAGCCAATGGTTGGATGAATCTTTTTGTGAAGGATGTACTGCATACAATGTACTTGTATGTACAATTCTTTTTATAACTTGTGTTCTTGCAAGAATGCCATTCCATCGTACAAATGTCGATGAACAGATGCGTACCTAGTAGATACGATACCTCCTACTCACCCGTCATTTGAAACGAAACTTTCAAATTCCCATCCTCCAATCAAATCCCATAATCTTTGAATTCTTCCTCTACGGTATTCTATGATTTCTATTTCTATTTCTATCCTATCCTATCCTATCCTATCCTATCCTATCCTATCCTATCCTATCCTATCCTATCCTATCCTATCCTATCCTATCCTATCCTATCCTATCCTATCCATATATATATACCTAGTAGTTATCCATATTCATATCCATCCATTCTCACTAATCCCCCAATCCACCAATCAAACACTCTCAATCTGCCTTCGCTTAAACCCATCCTCCGATTCTCCGTATCAATAATCCAGAACATTCATTTCTCATATCTCTCTCTCTCTCTCCCTCTCTGTCTCCGTGCATATCTCAGCCTCACCATTCATTTTCTCTTTTCCACAATCTGACCAAACCCTCATTTGCATTTTGCAAAAAGATAAAAGGCCACGCAGACACACAACACATTTCTTACACTCACACACAATTTACATCTAATACCAAACTCTTTTTATACTTAATTACTCAAAAATGGCTAGAGGAAATCAGAGAGAAAAGTCCCGTGAGGCTAATGCTAAGAAACAAGCTCAACTTGCTGTATGTTCTCTTTTTCTGTCTTAATCCTAGGTTCCCCAGAAGTTGTATTTCAGTTTGCATGTTATACTATGAAGATGCCGCTGCTCTCTCTCTCTCTCTTTCTTAAAACACATATACTAACCTTCTCCTCCCTAAACAGAAAGCCGGAAGCGGAATGTCGAAATCGCAAATGCAAGCCGAGAAAGATAAGACCCGTGTTCTATTAATGGAAAAGCAAAAGAAAGGTATAATTCCCCAAATCCTCGATTCATCCCTCTATCCATCTACCTACACTTACTAACTCCCCTTCCAGCCGACGAAAGAAAAGCAGCCGAAGCACTCGCCGCCGCACAAGGAAAGAAATAGATTCGATTCCATTCGACATTTCTTATCTACCGATGTTATCAGACCTCTCCAATTCGACATGATATGATATAAAATTAGAGAAAATCCTACAATCCGAAGAACGACTCTCAAAGAACAATTTCCCCCTCCCAGAGCGAAAGGATGGAGTTTTAAGGCGAGCAGGCAGGCAGGCGCGAAAGAATTTCGCAAAATCCCCGAATATTTCTCATCTCCTGGAAATTCAGTTTCATTTTCATTTTCCTTACACACTATACATTTCACATTACAATACATTTGAAACCCCCCTTCAAGGTGTTACAGCGACGGAGCAGCATTTCGGTCCTTCAAGTATAAAAATTCTAGAACGCGCGTGGGAATTCTTTTCATTGTGAGGGGTGTTGAAAACCGGTCGTTTTATTCTAGAATGCGTGGATTACCTAGGCTTTGTTTCCTGTGATGGGTGGATCGTATGGATAGATGGATGCATGGATGAATGTGGCGGGAATCATTCGTTAAATACGTTGTGTGGTGTCAGAACCATATGATATGGGTAGGCCCTTTAATAAAGTTTCTCAATGATGCTGTGAGACTAGAGTTCTTTCTGTGGTGTTGAGTGCGAAGAAGTTGATCCCCCGGGTCTGGATGATGCGAAATGGTCTATTTTATATGACCTGCCTCAAGAATCGGTCTCCCAAGTACAATAACTGCTATACAAGTTATAGCTTACAGAAAATGACCGCTCCAAAATATGACCTACAAATCGACCCATCAGTTCAAACCCCCTTTTCCATATCCGAGAAACATACAATTTCATCATTTGGACTTCGGATTCATGAATCTGGAGGTTGATACTGTATGCATTTTTATGTCTAGGTATATAAGTCTTTTCTATGTCCCCCAATTCCCATGTACAGGACCACGCAATCTCTATGTATGACCCCTCATAGCTTTGCACATTCGAGGGAAACTTCTCTCGCGATGCAAATTCTCTCTTCACACGCTCAAACCATACTACCTTCTAAACCCTACGATATCAATTTCTCCTCTCACCCACTTCACCTCAATCCTGAACACTAACACCTGCCTCCTTCTCATCCGCGGCCTTTCCCCCCTTACCAAAGATATAATCCTCCAGCTCCTTATACGCAACCTCCAAATCGTCATTTACAATAATCTTATCATGCACGCCCTCCTTCTTCGAATACTCCAATTCTAGCTTTGCCTGTTCCAAACGCTTTTGAATCGATTCTTCCTTTTCCGTTCCTCTGCCCCTCAATCTCTTCTCGAGAACTTGGTATGGTGAGAGGTCTGCGGTGGACGGAGGAGAAATGAATACGTAGCGTGCTGGGAATGGAGGGGTGAGCGCGTGGATTTGTTTAACGCCCTGTGGTATTCTCGTGTTAGAAATTGCATTCCTTGAAAACAGTGAGGGGGAAAGGAGAGGAGAATAATGAACCCCCCCCCCCCTTCCACTCTCCCCCTCTCCCACCAAAAAATAAAATCAGAACAGAACGAAACAGAACAGAACAGAACAGAACAGAACAAAACACAAACCTCCATCTCAATATCCAACACGACAATCTTCCCCTCCCCCTCTTCTGCTCAATCATCTTTCTACTCGTCCCATACCTATTCCCCCCAAACTTCGCATGCTCGACAAAATCCCCCGCCGCAATCATCGCCTCAAACTCCTCCATCGACACATAGTAATAATCCACATCTCTCTGTTCTCCTGGGCGCGGGGCGCGCGTCGTGTGCGAGATGGAGGTGGTGAAGAGCGAGGGGTGGTTGGCCAGGAGTCGCGAGTAGAGCGTGCCTTTTCCGACGCCCGAGGGGCCGCTGATGATTATGGGGTTGGTGGTGGGGGGATGGCTAGGGGAAGGGAGGTGTGTTAGTTGTATTCTTTGAGTCAATTTCAACTCCTCTTCTAATATAATATCAAGATCTCCTGTTTTTTTTTTTCCTTTCGTTGCTGAGAGGGGAAACAAGAAAGACAACATACGAGACATGTTAACAATTTTTGCAAGAATACCTGTGCGAAGGTTCCGTGAACAAGATCTAGGAAAACGGATGGCAATTGAGGTTTTGCGTAGTATACTATGTCGCAGGAGTGGCGGTTGGAGAAAACACATATGTGTAGAAAACGGTATTTAGGAAGTGGAAGTGCTTTAGGGACGCTTAAATGATTGGTGCGTGCTGGTCGTGCGATAAAGCTGGGGAAACCCCTTATCGACGTTAGCGCTTGGGGGTCCTTTTAGGCCCGAGATTTTAGGCCAGGAGAGCCAGCCACATCACACTCTGATGCGGACCGCTGGATGGAACCTCATGGCCAGGCCTAACCAATATCAAGGCCTTTCCAATCCGTTCCTTTGATCTATCAAGGTGATGTCAATAATACACAGTCAATTGCTGAGACCAATTACTACTCATTCAATCTCCATAGACAGAATCACAAGACATGATTGACCCCAAGAATCAAAAGAAGATCTTATTATTTACTATTGAAATGAACCCTCTGGATATTAAAGAAAAAGGGCTAATTAAGCAAAGGAGAAATGTAGCAATATTCAGTTTAGAAAAGCCCGGCTCCACAAAAGCAGTCCATTAAACTCTCCTCTAATCTCCTTTCAAAAAATTGTCGCTTTTGGCAAATACCATCTCGCCATCATAAACACAACCAATCATCCAAACTCACCAGATCCCAGTATGACTAACTAGCCATCATTCATATCCCATCAATTCCTCTAATAACCGTTCATGGTCATTCTTTGGGAGTTTCTGCTCAACTCTCTATCAGCTGATGGACTGATTGGTCTGCTACCAGCATGTCCTGCCGCACTACTCTCCTTGAGGGCCAACAATTGCTTAGCACGGAATGTTTCGTAATGGATTTGAGATGTGGTTTCGATGAGATCTTGAAGATGGGTTCGGGTAAGGAAGTTTCGTAGGTAGACGAATTCGCAGTGATTTTCGTCTTCGACATTGATAACACCCCATCTGTTTTGACGTCCTCGAACTGGCTTGCCTCCAACGATGATATCCTTCTCAGATCCAACGACAGCGAATGGAATGATATCCTGATAGTGTTAGTATGCTTCTTGAGAGACCAATGCAGTATAATTTACCTTGATTTGTGCGTTCAAGGCTTTCTCTTCCTCATCAAACTCATCATTCTCGTATGGGAACATCTTCAAGTTGTGGAAAGCGAATTCCTCCTTTATACGCTCCTTGAATGCAGCACGTTCCTCCAAAGTCAAAGAATCCGACTTGGCGATAACTGGTACGACATTGACAACATCTGAAAGCTTCTTCAAAACCACAATATCAATCGGCTTCAAGGCATGGCCAGAAGGTTGAATGAAGAACAAACAACAGTGAATACGGGTATCTTGAATATATCTTTCTCTTTGAGCTGTAAGTTCCTTTCGGAGGTATGCAGAGTGTTGATCTTTGATGTACTTGACAATTGGATCCCAGCATCTATCGTTGTTGACTTGATCTCCATAACCTGGGGTATCGACAATATTGAGTCGCAGCTTTACGCCATTCTCCTCGATGATGTGGGAAACGGTTTGGATTTCGGTGGTAGATCTTACTGGCTCATCTGGGGTGAGTCTTCCCTTGGAATCGATCAAATGTGAGGCGAAAATGGTGTTGATGAGGGTGGATTTTCCAAGACCAGTTTGTCCTACAAGATAAATCTATTAGAAAACTCTCCTAACTCACTTTTCAACATTGTACCAAGTAAACTCACCGACGCAGATAACGTTGAACTGGAAACCGCGTTTCAAGAGCTTGCGCTCAATTTGTGATGTGATACTATCGAAACCAACATGGCTTTTTGGGAATACGGAAGGTTGAGGAGCGTGTCTATCAGTTATTGTTGACATCTTGGAAAGAGTGTATTAAATCTTGAGTCTTTCTAAACGAGGGTGTTATCTTTGAATTGAATAGAAACAAAAATGAAGATATTTATCTTCGAAGGTAATATGCAATCAAAAGTCGTTGATAAAGAACAAAGTTAGGGAAGGAGGTCAGTCTCCAGATTATTTTGGCAATATAGCGTGCACTTCAGGGGAAAGTAATTGGGCAAATCTAAGCTAATCTTAAAATGCGCTAGCTTATCTGTGAGTGGAAACTAGTGAATTAACCATGCGAGCCGAGAAGTGAAAGATTCAAGATTTTGATGAATCAGTATCGACAGTGAGGTTGAATACCCATACGTACTTTATTAATTCTCCTTCGATATCTCAATCAAAATGGCGGCAGCTCATGCTACTACGTCTTCGATACTTTCTTCATTTCTTCCACGATTGGCACCTGCAACAGCAACTTTCGCAACGAGATCAACAACTTTATACTCGCGACAATTGTCCCATCCATTACTTCCAGTACTCGCCATCCCATCTGCGATACATCTTAATGTTCCCGGATTTCTCGAAGGATTATGGGAGGGAATACTGAAAGCCGTACCAAAGAAGAAGACTTCACATATGAAGAAGAGACACAGGCAAATGGCAGGCAAAGGATTACAAGATGTCACAAACTTGAATAGATGCTCTGCTTGTGGTCACATCAAGAGAGCACATTTGTTATGTCCATATTGTGTTGCTGGTAAAGATTTTCTATATGACATATCAGTGGATGGCGGTTAACAATGATGTAGAGATTAAGACTTTATTCAAGACCAATGCACACGAAGCAAACGCCGCTGCAAGAGAAGCCAGGGCAGATGAAATAGCTGAGCAGCAAGTAAGAATAGAAGCAGGAAAAGTAAGAGCTGCAGAGGGAAAGACAAAGAAAGAGGCAGAATTAGAGCAGTTGGAAACTAAGCGGGCAGAGAAGAAGGCAGCTAAGGATGCTGCGAGAAAGATCTACGAGGAGAAGAATCCTAAGCAGATCATTGGATCCAGAAGAATTGATTAGGTGATTATGAGGGGTAGGAGGGAATTGGAAGGCATGCGAGACGAAATAACTGGTGAGGACCAGAAATGAAGATGATCATGTATGGCATCAGCCATGGCGTTTTGGACATGGAGAAGAGATCTTGAACCGTGAGGTATATATCCTCAGAAATGGTACAATTTATTATTAAACTGTACATCAAAATAAGAATATCCTACTGCATCATCAATATTTGAAATCCTATCTTCGTGTTATGTAAAATGCGTTTGCTGAAATTACCTGTGAGGTCATGATATTTTCTTCAACCCCGCCAAAGCTTCCAGAGCTTCAGCTTTATTCACAACATCCACCAAAACCACCTCTTCTTCCAAAACCCATATACCCAAATATTCAAATGAACCGGTGACAATGGTATGTAAACCATTGGATATGAAAATACATGCGCTAATATTCAAAGTCGAAACAATATCTTACAACGCATACGATTGATGATGGTAAATACTCCAAAGTGCCCCTCTACCTCACCATCCCCCGCTTGCACCAATAGCTATACCTCAAATCCGGCCTTCATGCTAATCCAGCGCAGCCCATAAAACAGACATCTTTTCCCTCGCCGTGACCCCAGCTCTATACTCTCCGCCTCCGGTACATCCTCCCTTAAAGTCCACAGCACACTCACCACGCCCCCTTCTCTGACCCAAACTCTCCCCGCCCACAAACTCGGCTGTCACCACATCTGCACCTCTCGATCTGGCACTATCGCAGCATCCGCCGGTTTCGATGGTACAGTTAGTATTTGGAGCTCTTCTCCAAACGCAGACGGATCAGAAGAATGGTCTCATCATGGCCATATCCTCGATGGCAATAAGCCGGGTGAAATCTGGGCGCTGGCATTAAGTGCTGATGGAAATTTCCTTGCAGCAACGACTATTGATGGGAAGATTGGGGTATGGGATTTATCACAAGGAGTTGAAGAGAATGCAGGAAAGAAATGTGTAGGCAAGAAAACAAGAGAGTATGAGACGAAGGGGAGCTTTGGACTATGCGTAGATATTAGTGCAGATGGAAGATTTACGGCCAGTGGACATGAGAATGGAGGAGTTTATGTTTTTAATAATGATACGGGGAGAATGGTGCATAGTTTACCTGGTAAGTTTCACATATCACATATCAATTGATCTAGGACGGGACAAGAGCTAGCATACTAACAAATCCAGGACTCATCCAACCCATCCGCACCATTTCTTTTTCTCCCCTCTCTACCTATCTGGCTGCCGCTGGAGATTCCACAACCATTGCCCTCTACTCCGTTACTCATGGCGAACAAGTCGCTAATATGACAGGCCACACAGCCTGGATTTTCAGCATCGACTGGAGTTTCACAGGCGAATATCTTGTTAGTGGTGCTTGGGATGGTAAAGTCAAGGTATGGAGTGTCGAGGGAAGAAACTGCGTAGCGACGCATAGTGAGACAGATAAAGCGCTTTGGGCTGTCAAATGGTTGCCGAAAGTGCAGGGGAGAAGTGAGGCATTTGTTACGGCGGGGGCAAATGGTAGTTTGAGCTTTTATAGAGAGGCTACTGGTGGTTGAGTTGAGATTCAAAGGAAAAGAAGAGGTTTTGAGGAGAGAACGTGAGCTTTGCTGGAGCTATTGCACTAAGAGTATAGAGTCGGATTTTATGCTCAATCTTGAGCCATAATTAAAAGTTGTAATAGCTATCTACATGCGGCACACTTGCATACTAAGTAGCTAAATTACAGATACAAATTCAAGCGAAGATATTGCAAGTTGCGATACCATAGCAAATCTTTGATGCCAAAACACTAGTCACCAATCCTTCTCTCTCTTTGTTCACTGCCTTTACATCTACACTCTAATCATGATCACGCTTGCAGGCTGCTCTCCATATCACTGAAGTCCAGCCCATGCTCAAGTCAAAGCTCTCAGCAAAAGATTAGACGTTTAGATTGGCTATTAGATCTACCAGATATTCAGAGAATAGTTCAAAAGACTTAGAGCTAGTTAGCTAGAGTTACCTGGTCATTAGTTCCTGATTTTGATTTTGGTTTTAGCTTGACTAGCTATAGGAAGTCACTTCTTATAGTTGTGGGGAATATATGGCTATATTGAGGCTATTTTTGCCGGTTTTGTGGGATGCTGATTGGGATCTGTTCTATTTGGTACTAGATACTATCGCTCGATGCTAGATGTGTTGTTTTGTGTATTTCGATATGTTGTCAAGTCAGGTCGGGTCAAGTCAAGTCAAGTCAAGTCAAGCAAAATCGGATCAAGCAGAATCATAACTTCCTTCTCCGTAGATCAATCCTGGGAAAAAGAGCTAACATCTATACATCAACTCTGAGAAGAGGAGTTATTTCCACACAAAAGTATTCTGTACATCGACCCAACTCCGCAAACGCAAACACAAACCCGGAGATTGGAGACAGACACAGATATAGATACAGATGCGAATAGAAGAAGATAGGTAAGATTTAACTATAGGGAACGAGAAAGAGATTCCTTAATCTAAAATACTGATGAGGAGGGATTTTATTGGATGGCAGGTAGATCTTATCAACGAGTTATCACCGTTAAAGATTGAGGATTGACATAAGCTGAGAGAGAAGCGGTGGAGAAGGATACACGTAGTGACTATGGTATTCACACATCTCTAGACCCAAGGCATGGATGAGCGAGGAATAGATGATGAATGATAATCAGATATGAAAACCACAATATCTACATATCCACATCCACATCCACATCCCTCGACTTTCGATCTTGCTCTTCGCACTTGCAGAGAGTCAGAGACTGGATTTCGTAATCTTGGTTGCTAGATCTGGAGATTGAAATATCCAATTAGCTAGATGAGTGTGGATCTGAAGATTCTCATATACACATATACACATAGAATAAGCCAATGCAAGCACAAAACACAATAACAAACGAAACAGCTACCAGCTACGCAGCTACCTAGCACCAAGAGCACAACACAGCAACTCATCAACCCGCCAACATCAAGAAGAACCTCGACTAGCTACTAGAAGTTCAAGTCTTCAAGCTATAGATATTGAACTGATCGATGCGATGGACTACATGGACTACATGGACTACATGCAGTATGTTGATAGAATTTCGAAATTGAACATTTAAAGGGGAAGTAACTAGAAATTTGAAGGGAAAAAAGAGATGTATACATATATATTGATACATATCAATACTTGCTAGATGGAGGAGTATACTTACTTATTAGATTTTCGATACGGTAGGTAATATGTACTAGAATAGGATAGGATATCTAGTAGAATATCTAGTAGAATAGCGAAGTCGAAGCTAAGAAGAGTAGATAGATGGAGAAATACTCAGATATGCTAATACGCAGATAGGTAGAAACATTTCTAGACTATCTTTTGAGAAGTGTGCCAGATTAGAATATTCTGATATTGAGAAAACGTTAGGGAAAGAGAAGAAACGAAGTAGTCTTGTAGAGGGTAGAATCTAGCAAGTATATCAACTTCCGAAATCTCCTCAACACTGAGGATATGATATAGCATAACATAACATATAACACCAAGAAAGGAAGTTTATAAAACAGAATAACAAAACACAATTGAACATCTTCGATTTATTGAACCATCCATCTCAAACTTCGCTCCACTAACTGTAATTGTAAAGAAACTATCCTGGTATCTCTGAAATATGCACAAATTCATCTTCTTCTACTTCTCAAACCGCATCATCTCCCCTCTCTAACTCATCCTCTCCCATCCCATCTAGCACCTGGCTACATATTCCCCTCTACATCGACCTCTGACCCCTAAAATCCAATCAACCTCCCTCCCCTAAAACAAAACCGCACCAACTAATCCCACCACTCCCAACAAGCCCGGAACAACCAAGGCTCCCACACCACCCGTAGCCGTAGCCGCGCTCGCGCCAGTGGTACTTCCCGTCGCGCTAGCGCTCGATCCACTCGATCCAGTTGCGGAAGCGGTTCCGGTAGCTTTTGCTCCGCTTCCTGTTGCTGTTGCGCTTGCGGAGCCGGAGCCAGAGATAGATGCGGTGTTTGTGCCTGTGGCGGAGGCGGAGGAGGATGTAATGGCTGTTGGGTTTGGTTAATATTGGACTTCTTATTTCCCCTCTTAATTATATTCCCTCTCGTCTCAAGCTATTGAGAAGAACTCTAAGCTGGGCCCACGGAACTTGCTTTCTTCCCTTTCTTGCATAACAAAAGTTTCAAAAACAAATAATAAAAAACTCACTAATATTAACCCCCGCACCCTCAAAACAAGTAGCTTGGTAAGAGCTCACAGCCTCCTTATAATTATCCCCCGAACATTTATCCGTAATATTTCCCGCAACCGCATCTTCCAATGTTCCGCAAAGGGCCTTGAGATCGGAGGGATCGGATTGAACGTTGATGGCTGCGAGGAGACATGCGGGAGGAGTGGCGGTTACGGAGAGCGCGTTGGAGAGGAAGAGGAGAGAGATGGTGAGGAGAGTTGGGGTTTGCATTTTTGCGTTTGGCGTTGGGGTATGGTTGGATCGGTATGAAATGGAGATGAGGTTGGTTTTGGGGATCTTTTGCGAATATCGTATTGATTTGACGTTTGAGAATGTAATTGCAATTGCGACAGTAGATTTGAAATAAAAGAATTTAATAACTAAAAGAACGTGTATGTAAGCTTGATAATAGATCGATGAATAAAAGAGAGGACAGCGACACTACGCAATGAAATCAAAAGGATCAAATTCTTCTTAGAAAAAGTATCTATGTATGTAGAAAGCAGAGTTGTAAATGTTTCAAACCTCCAATTCGTAAAAGAAATGAAGGTCGCCAGTCATTCCTCCTGTTCTGATATGAATCTGCTGAATGGGGTTTGGTGGGGCTTGGCCCTGCTTGGCGGGGAAGGATTGGAATTTGGGGACATGCAACGCTAATTTTAGAGTTGGGCTTTAGGTGCTTTAGTGTCAGGTACCCGAGGCTAGGTGGCTTTTATAGGCTGTGATGGTGGAACTAATGGGGATATTCTGGATTGATGGATTTTTGATGTAATGGGTGGTGGGTGGTTTTGGAGGGGAGTTACTTCTTGGATTGATGATTGCTTTGTTTTGAATACTTACTGCACTATAGGTAGGTACTTGAGAATAAGATGACCAGATAGATAGAAATCGTAGAATGAATTACCTCGTATGAACTTCAAGTTGCAAAGGACCCAGATTTTAAAATTTGAGTTAACCTTAGAGTTTAATAAGTGAGTGGAGAGGTGATTTGAGACTGGAGATGCGCACGTGAAATTTGAAATTTGATATAAACCCTTTTCTTTCGATGACATGGTGGTCGGAAAATTCAATGAAAACATCTTATATGTATTGATTATGTAGATAATGCTGTTGATAAAAGATACGTTATTCATTCATTTATGGTAGAAAATTATAAAAAAGAACTATTATTAAGACATCTCACGGCAATTCATCCTTCCTTCACCTCACACACGTCTAAAAACTCCAATCCAACATACGATCCAGTCATATACATGAAGTTTTCCCATATTCCTGTCCCAAGCGTCAAGCCACTTATGGGCGACTGCTATTTCCATCATATCATAAACAGAAATCTCACGTTTTCCCCATTCTAACGTTATGCGTATGGTCAACCTATACCAAGAAGAAAAGGAAAAAGAAGAGGTGATGCTTTCATCCCTCATTCATTCACTTATTTTTCTAGTAAAGACATGGACATAGCACCTGCATAAGTGTTAGATTCAAGCGACGAATATGAATAATCATAGAAGGAAATACTAACCAGAAACCCCACCAAACATTCCAACTCCCTGTACAGCAGCATTTGGGAATGCAGCTTGTCCACAAAGACAACTACATGAGCATGTTCCATCAGTACCAACTGTTCCAGTCCCTGAAGCAACCGTCGCGGTAGAAATTGCAGCGGCAGCTGAAGCAACAGCACTTGAAGATGTTCCACTACTGGCTCCGCCAGCAGAGGATCCTCCTTGAATGGCACTCTGAGTTCCAGTACCATTTTGTGCAACAGCCATTGCTTTGAACTGTGCTTGAGTTTTGTCGGCAGTGGGATTGATACTGAATACCATTCCTGAACCGCAGTGGCCAGCTTGACGACAGTAAAACCCTGTACTCGTATTAGTGTTGTTCAGGGATTAGCGATATCTGTGGTAGACTAACATTGAGGAGTATCAACCATGACTTGCATAGCCATTGCTGGGGTGGACTGATGGTATTATTAACATTGGGTACGAAGCCACTATCCATGCCACCGGTAGCCAACTTCTCACAAGGCGTTGTAAAAGCTGATTGTGTGAGGGTGTGATTTGCCATTTCGAAATTGAACACGATCATATCCCCTATAGCAGCGTTGACCGTCTCAGGTGTATAAACCTTTCCAGCGGCACCTCCCACTACAACGGTATGGGTTGCCTGTGCTGCTGCTGCCGCTGTGGCACCAGCTACTTGAGCGACAGTCTTCGTCTCCGTGACTGTTTTAGTTGCAGCTCCATTGCCATCGTTGGTCCAGATAATAATGATCTCCTCACTCTTCGCTTGTACAATTGTGATCTCCTTCCTATTGACAACGAGCTCTGATGATCTCTCAGCGAATTCCGGTGTAATTATTCCCCGCCCAGCCAAGTCATGTTGAAGATTACTGGCCAATACCAATGGTGCTGCACACAATGTTGCGATAAACGAGAATCTCATGATGGATATATTAGGATATGAGGACTGAATGCCGTATAGATATAAGATGAATACGAAAGAGTGATATGTAAGCCGCGCTGCGGAGAAGAATTAAACTATCAAAGTTGTCTTGGCTTGTGTAATGATTGTGAGTCGACTTGAGTAGTAAAGTAGCCAGTTGTCGAGGGCCTGCTCGTGGTAGTAATTAATAGAGAAAGTAGAGAAGGGGAATGAAAGTGTTCACAGGTTTTTGAATGATAGAATATCGAAAAACAATGCATCAGGTCTTGGGAAAGGCCTTGGTATAAATTCAACCATAAGAATTGCGATACCAGGACTCGAAGACAAAAATGAAAAGCACTTGCTTCGTATATCCTTGGTCGAAACGACTCAATGAACGGAGGAGAAAAGCCTCCAGGATTTATCGTACCACTCGGAGACCTACTTGTCCGGATCTAATTCAATTGAACTGCCATGATAGAAGAAAAAGCACTACTAAAAGACTTAATTCAAGGTTGTGAGTTCAAGATCCAACGTTTTAGAAACGAGGTTTGGATGAAGATGTGATGAAAACCCTTGTCATCGTGCCAAGTCTAAACACAAGATAATCATAGATCTTTCATCCCTGTATTTAAACGCCAAAGATCACTGAAGATTGTATGCACAGGCTATAGTGTAGCCTATATCAGACTCCAATCTTTGCCCCATGAGAACATTTTACCCCGGTCCAGCCCTAACATTTACTGTTTTGGCACCTCCTGTGGCGCGTGCCAGATTCGTCTCAGCTGTCATAATGGGACGACGGGAGACTGGACATAGACAAACTTTAATGTTGAAATCCTTGAAAAGGCCAATGTCTCGAACGTTAGATTTGGGCATGAAAAGAAGAAGAAATCTTATCTGATAATTGATGGAAGCGCGGGAAAAGATTGTGAATAGATGGAAATTTCGGCATTGAAGTTTTTTGAGGTTGGAGATGCTCGGGGGTGAGATGAAAGTGACGGTTTCACCGCATAACCCACGTTCAGCAATGTCTTCTGTAGAATTTCATATAGAGTGAACACAGCGGCTTATTACCCCAGATATTGTCAACTTGAGGTGTTTGTTATCGACAGTATCATAAAGACAGTACCAAGGGCTCATAAAGTCCCCAGTTCCATATCTAATCATAAGCATAATCATGAACTCCTTGGGAAATATAATCGTGAGAAGAGTAAAGAAACTTAGGTCAAGGCGCAATGATGTAAGGTACCCGTTATCAATCATGAAACCATATAACACATGTCTCCTATACATGCTGTAACATTGATTCTTCCATGAAGTACAAGCTAACATGAGATCATCCCTCATACGCTTTTGACGGACGTGATATCTGCAACAACGACACAACATGGCACAGCTCGGACTTCATCCCAATGTCAATCTTAATGATCCGGCTTGAATAAGATCAGATGGTTCAAACTATCCGTGTCACAGATAGTCGCAGTAGTGATAATAGTTCCCCCATAAAGGACTCATCCTATGCCTTATACTTATTACGTACCCTTACTTGGTTCTTGCTTTTGCTGTTGGCCTTCATACAATCCAGTATAGTAGCCAGCATAGTACCAAGACATCAATAAATTCTTAAGATTTTCATCGTGAACTGTATGAGAATTTCACGTCAGCCTGAATCTTACGTATATCATGAAAATTCTTGCACGTCTTACCTTGGCCAATTAACTGTGGTGGTAGTGTTGGAGCTTTTGAGGATGAAGAACCAGACATGGCCGCCTTTGGTGCGGGTTTGTCACCAACCTAAAGGAGCATAAGAATTAGTCAAAATGTATATTGGTAGATCTTTTCAATGCTTACTTTAGGTCCTGCTTGGGTTTGCTCATTGGTTTGCTCAAACTCGCTTTGCATGACAATATTTTCTTCCAGCAGTTCTTCAACACCTTCTCCATTATTCTCATTTATCTCCCCTTCCCTACAAAAGGTTAGCAATATCATAATGGTCGGGAGGAGACAAACTTGCAATCCATTACTTTGATTCTCGAACGCGTTCAACACATCCTCAACTTTCTCTCCTCGAGCATGGATACTGTGATATTTCTATCTTGATATTAGCAAAGTTCACAAAACCGCGTTGAGATTCTTACCTCATATTCTTGTAGGGCTTCATTCCACGAGTCTACAAGTGTAGAATCGTCCCATAGTTCTGCATGTGAGACATTATTTTGCGACGCCATTTTGCAATATTAGTTGTTGTTGGAGAGTGAAAGAAGTCGTGAAGTTGGAGGCAGCAGGATCTACACAGAATATTTCTTCTATCATAAGATCACTTTGCATCAAAATAGATGAATTTATCAGGGACTTTTCGATGGTCTTCGCGTGCTACTTCTAGCTTAGGAGTAGTATTCACTTCGCAGTATTGAATTTTTGACCTTTCACACTAAAGCGTGACTTTCACGTGACTGTATCAGTCAGGCTTGTTAGTGTCCGCACTTTTAACTCTCCCATTCATTGCTCATAGCTTGAACCTTGGTCCAAATCTGAACTTCAGATACGAGAGAGTAGTCAGTAGCAAAACTGAGTTCTTGCAGATATGCAACGAAAACTCTGCCTCAAAAAATGATTGGCTGAAACATGTGAAATAGGAGTGAATCCTGATTCCAATGAGATGAGTATGTAAACTCACATTTAGTCATCTATTGATCTTGGCTTCGGTTGGTATTACTACCTACATACTTCTAGTCTGATATCCCATGTCTCTTCATACAAGAAGTGCATGCCGTATATATTCCATCAAACTTTCGGTGCGATTGGAAACATTTCACTGTTATATGTTGACTAAGCTTGATCCAAGATATATATAACCTCCTGACTTGATGAATATATACACAAGAGTAATGATTCCTTGTCAAGATGTACAAATATAGCTCGCTAACTCACAGTCATAATACTTCATATTTAATATCCACCCCCCTCAATCTCGCCTCCACGAACCCCCTCCTTACTCCCACAAAACCTTCCCTCCCTCTAGCTCCCCTTATTGATATTCTCTGCCATAAGTCCAACATTCTTAATGATCCCCCAGCTTCACAGACTACAGCTATAAAATCCACTTCGAAACCAATCACCTCAACTACATGCCATCCCGCTTGCCAAAATTCTCCTTCCTCTTCTCTTCGCTTTCCGAACTTCTTCTACACCTACTCCATATGTATACGACCACATCATTTGATCTTAATCAATTCCATGCTCGCGACAAAATAGATCCTTCTTCTAGAGTTACCCCAGGGAAATATCAAATACTTTAATTCCACCTTTTGGAGACCTGTTTCGTTATTTTCAAATCATCTGGCGATATCATGTACAAATCTTAGTAACGAAATGATGTCCAGATATAATGATGATAGCTATGTATCTGGCTGTTATGAATGTGAAATTGTCGTCTGATTGGATGAAATTACGTGGATGGAGAATTGAAGATACTAGAAGGAGCCCGGGCGAAGATGAATAAAGTGAAGGGTGGTGGGCATCATAAGCGGGTCAAGGTAAATGGGCAGAGAACTGTGGACTCGATGAACAAGGGATTGGGATATAACTTGTTGGGACTCACGGAGAGTGCTTTGGAGAATTTTGGTGATTGATAATATACTAGTTTGTGATCACTGAAAGAAGGATCAATCCTCGCTTTGTAAATATTAATAAGATTTGATATAATCATCATTCGAAGTCATGATTTATCATTGAACGTTAGCCATCCATATGATATGCACCACACCATGTGAATCACCGCCATTGTATCATAACGCCATGCCAACCAAGCCCATACCTACATACGCCTGAACCATGCATAGAATTGCCACCAAGTGGATAGACTAAATAGTCAGTAGAGACGACCCAATGAAATCTCCCAGGATATGCAACGTGTATAATCCTATAACTCCGCAAACGGTTGAAAGTGGAACGCCTAAATCAATGCACGCGAGCAGATACGACTTTTAACGAGCTTCGGAATAATCATTCAAAGCAACGCAAACGAGTCCTATAGTAGATGTTAGGTCAGAAGGGGCACTATGGGGTATGTTTGAAGCAATGTAGATGTACCGCGATGATGACCATTGTACTGTCTGATTACTGACTGACTGTGCAACTCCCAAAGACGAGCATAGTGATCTGAACAGGCAGTAACAAGGTAAGCCGAATCGGCACTAAAAGCGCAATCCCAGACCCATCTTTGATGACCAGTCAAGGTTGATTCAAGATTGAATGCTCTTGCTTCTGTTTGAGGCTGGTTTGGATTAGGAGCTAGGGCAGTAAAGTCTACCTCCCAAATCTTGGCCGTATGGTCGGCACTACATGTTGCGAGTTTCTTAACGTCAGGAGAGAGAAGAACTCTAGTGATGTACTGGTTGTGAGCTTTGAAGTGAGTAATCGGCATAAGCTGAGTCTTTTCGCGGAATTGAAGGAGCTGCCAAACGTAGACGCTGCCCTGAACAGGAGTTAATACAAGTCTGATGCATCTCTCACGCATGATCTTACCGAGTTAGTACCAGCACACAAGGTTGATCCATCAGTTGCGACAGTGACGCTGGAAACAGGTACGTCTTCCTCTGGAATAAGTTGATGGGAGCAGTTATTTTCTGCAAGGTCCCAAATACGAACACTACCTCCGCGATCACAACTAATGATTTCTCCTTGATTGGGATGAATCACTACATCGTTAACTGGGCAGCCATGACTATAACTTCTTTGGACGGTACCACTCCGAGTCTCCCAGATCTTAACTGTGCCATCCTCAGAGCTTGTAACCATCCATTTTCCTTCGCAATGGAATGCGACGCCTGTAATATTTCCTGTGTGTCCCTCGAATGTGAGAAGCGGATTTGGATTGGTTGACTTAATGTCATAAAGCTTGACAGTATGATGGCCAGCCGCAGCTAAGAAACGCTTATCTGGGGATATACATAATCGATTGACTTGAGAATCAGGGTGTTGAATTGTTCGAGAACAGATACCAGAGAGGGCCTCCCAAAATCTAAGGTTTGTGAAACATCAATAACCCATATCATTGTAAATCACACACAAGACTAGGAGTAATTCGTACCTGATTGTGTGGTCGTAGCCAGCTGTAACGAGAACGCAAAGAATGTTAACAGGGTCTCCTTGTCCGTGAACGAGAATGGATTGATATGCCATTTGAGGTCTGCATTGGAACATGACCATGAAAGAAAGAAGAGATGACGCAAAGAACGGAGTGGAAAGTAAACTTCACCCAAGTGATGGTAGAGAAACCAATTCATCTGAAGATTGTAGGAGGCTGTTGAGGGAAAAAACATTACTTACCAGTACACAGAATAACGGACATTGTCTATTCCTTCCCAATACGAATTGAACGAAATGACAGAAAATAACCAAGAAAGGCAAGATGTGTGATTAGTGGTTATGAATTGGCAATTGCACCTTCCCGGTAGAGTGGGTTGTAGAGAAATATATATATGTAAAGTTCTAAAGGCATTGAACCATGATCTTGATAGTGACGGTTAGGAGCTCCTTCTGCTGGATACTAATCGACCGCCTTCTACATTGAGTTGGTCGGAACTAATTATTCCGATAAAATACCATTTGATTAGCCTTGCAGCTGTAATAGCCTTGTCTGAGCTTGTCTTGAGCTTACCGTGCTTACATACAAAAAAGGTACTAGGTAAAATTATCCACCGAAAAAAGCTCGAGCCAATTAAAAATCAGTCTCACGTGACAATTTCGCCAGAACTTTTTGAGGTCGAAAGTCAGCTTCTCACCTAGCAATCATCATGTTCACTTTCATACATTCACATATGAGAGATATTTCCCACAAATAATCTCCCAGAAGTTTTCTTAATTATACAACTTCAAACTCTACAAAGCCGGACTTCGTCAAATACCCTTTTTATGCCTTAAGAAGAAGTATAGCTGAGTAAACTTTGAAGTTGCGAGGTTGAAATATCTCTAGGCTACCAAGCCAAACATACATTTGTACAAACTCGCCAACTGCGTCCTTGGATTCAACACGAGCTACTATCACGAGCCGTTGTCGACTAAGTTTTGTCTTCAGAATCTGTTCATTGAGATTGCTTGCGATCATCGTTCAGAGGCACAGTGTCAGAAGCATTTCTGTTCAAGCGATCGTAATTTTGTGGTGGAATATATTATTGTGACTCAAGGCAGTTATTGGAAGGATTGTATCGAAGAGACCTCAAGATATCTCAAGATGGAGAACACATCCGAAATGCGTGTGGTTCAGAATAACTTTGGTAGAATCGGAGGTAATTATGCTCCTGAAAATTCTCATGTTCCCTCTCAAAACAACCTCATTGGACTTACACCTCCTTCCTTTGAGCAGTACAATGACCAGAACTCCCTTGGCTTCCAAGATGATTATTCATTATGGGGCTCTTTTTCTATGGAAGAGAATAACCTCCAGGATAATTCATTGGGCGAATATTCTCTTTGGAACGAGACTGGAAATATCGATGATCTTTACAATAGCGGTCCAAAATGTCCCGACGATTATGTCGATCCACCAGTACCCAAGAGGAGAAAGTTCAATTCAGACTCAACTACTAAGTCTTTATCTTTTGAGTCAGCTACTCAAGAAGTTGCCAGTCCAATTACTGAGTCCCTGTCCGTTTTCTCTCAACAGGCCATGCCCGTCCGAAAGACGACAGAACCAGCCTCGCCATCAACTGCCCCTAAGACCACAAGTGAAGTATTTCAGCAAGAAATTGGACAAGAATCACTTCTCTCCCAAGTATCTTCATCTGGATTGCAAATTCCCTCTAACAAGAACGGCCCCACCGCATCTCCCAATGGCCAGGCCACTGATATCCAAACGGTACCGGCCACCAATTCGGCTTACTCTGCTAGCAATCACAGTCACTTTTCGCAACCAATCACAAGCGCAAGTGTCACTGCACCAGAACTTGTTCAAACCCCTTCTGCAACTCACACACTGTCTATTCCGGAATCTCACCAAATAGTTCAGCAGCAACCTTGTGGAGTTACTGGCGTTCCATTAGGACCCACCTTCATGCGAAGCCCGCAAAGATCACAAATGCGAGTTGCATCGGATAGCTATGGTCATCAAGTTTCCCCAAATCAACCGCATACTCAGAGAAGACCATTTACTGCATTTTCCCCACAAAACCTTGGTTTCACGCCATTTCAACGTTCGTTCAATCAACAAGCTACATCTGGTTCTCAAGACTCAATCCAAGCTCCACAAAAACCTACGGAGCAAGGTACAAGACTTTTTCTACCATCTAGGCCAACAAGCTCCGGTACCACTGCCCAGAAGTCCTTGCCACAAAGTTTAGATAGGAGCTCCATTCCACCTCAGCTTAGAGAAGTTATGGAAAAGTTTGAAAACAAGATTAGGATGGACGCTGATCTTAGAAACGCTTTTAACATTGTTTTCCCTTGTAAGTATACCAACCATTCACCTATTATTGAACATTTGCTAATATTCACAATAGCACGAAGTATGGAAGTTGAGGAATTGAAACAAAAGATCATCAACGAAAGACAGCAAGCCTCTCAGAGAGAAAATGCTTTAAAAAACATGCTCACTGAACTTCAAGATAATGCCACCGCTCAAGAGGCCTTGCAAACCAGAGCGATGGGTCTTCTCACACAACTCAGAGCAAATCCTCAACACGATCGATCGTGGGTGTGTAGAAATTTCAGCAAGGAACATGGTCAACCCTGTAATAATGTCCAGAAGGAATTCTATCTGACCAAAAAAGTTTGGAAAAGACGCGAAAGATGCTCTAAATGCAAAGCCAAGGTTCATGAACTGAATCGACAATATCTTAATGACGATACAGCTGTTTCATCATGGAACTTTGAACAACTCGGTCCTTTCGGTCCCGCTTTCCCTGCCCCGCCAGAATTCCAACGCCCTGAGCCTTTGGACCATACGAGGAATATGACTAACAAGACAGAAAGTATTCCAATCATCTGGGTTGATTCTGCCCGTCGTCAGTCACTGCCTACTCTTCCTGTTGATGATAAAGATGTTCAACCAAGTACGGAATCCAGATGGGCTTCATTACCACCACCTACTAAGAAGTCTCGAGATCATACGCCATTGAATTATTCGAAGGCAACCCAAAATGCCTTGAGAGCGGCACTTGGAACACAGCCCAAGGCATGGATGCAACCACCAAAGCATATTGAGACTATTGTTTTGGATGATGAAAGTGATCAGGACGACGAGACAGATCAATCACAAGAAAGTTTCAATGAGACAACAGCAGCTGAGCAAGAAACTGACGTTGAAAATACTATGGGTGCCGATTTTGATGCTGATTTTGATGCTGAGTTTGAAGCAGAGTTGGAGGCTGACCTCACTACTGCTCTCGAGACGGAAGTTGCATAGGAGGTACGGAATACTTGATATACAACGTTAATGCTCGACGGGCCTGCAGTCTGTACTTATGAGCATGGTCTTCAAATAGTTGTTTGGCAGCGTTGTGTCAGCACGTTTGACTTCTATAGTCATCCAAGAATCGGATTTGTCAATTCGCTTTCCTTGTTCCTTGACACCAAGATGCACAAGGAAGAGGAGCTTTTGGCAGGTGTGGGCCATGAGCTTCATGTCACTTCTTTCTGAAGAATTCTTTGAGACGCATTCTTTCACAGAAAGAATCAGATTCGAGGCTGTATCTTCTTCTACTCAGGCCTGAGCTATAATGTGGTGTGCTGGGGGAGGAATCATGGCGGCAAATTTGGTCTTTGTTTTGTCATTCTTGTATTTTTCTTTTGCATTTTTTCAATGTACTAAAAGGTGCTCAGTCCATTAGAGAGAACGGCGCTTCTTTTGGGGGGAGATTCATTGCTATCATTTGAGATTTCCTTCAGTGCACATCATTTTCGTTAGATCAGGGAGGATGCGCTACGTCAAGATACCAATATAGATATGGAAAGTACTTTGCAGCTGCTTGTTATACAGCGCGCTCAGCGAGCATCATATAAGCTGTGCGGTGGGCTTGGTTCTAGCTTTGGTTTGGGCTTCTGGCTTGAGTTTGAGGGATACGGTTCAATGCTTGGAGAAGGGGATCAAAACAAATAGGAGAACAATGATAAAACTTATTAAAAGTGTGTTTTCATATCCAACTACAGTTACGTGAGATGATGAGGTGCTTATGGTGAAGAGATAGATGCTTTGCTTAGTATGGACTACCGCAACTACATAACATGATGGCTTTCGAGTAACGACTTTGCTATACATACATTCCTAGGTAGTAGGAGGATTAATCAATTTCCTATTCAATGCCAAGTAATACTTTGGTAGGTATGTAGGCAACAGATAGGCGTTCAAGAGTTGAGTTGATGTTTGGATAATTATATGATATTACTATGCTGGTAGGTAGATGGGTAGGTGGGTAGGTAGGTAGGCAGGCAGTTGACAAATCTTCCAATTTCTCAATTATCAAATATCTTGCTGTGTTTGAGTGGGTGTTGAGTTGGTGGAGTGGGAATGTGGATAGATGTGTGGATAGATGGATGTGTGGATGGATGGATGTGTGTGTGTGTGTATCGAGTACCTATCTAAAGGGGGATATACTCGAGTATATATATATATATATATGTATATCCATATTCGTATCTAGATAGATAGATAGATAGATAGGTAGGTAGATAAATAGTCAGCTTTAATTTCTGATATTTGGTTTGGAATTTTGAAGTTTTGAAATTTAGATGGATTGATAGATTGATGGATGGATTGATTGATTAGTTATTCAAAATATCTAGAGAATGAGAAAGAAAGTATTGATTCTCTTATCTGATGAAATGAGCATGCTGGTTTGTGTTTGTGTGTGTGTTTTTCATTCTTGGGGTTATTCTTGATTTTGTATTTGTATTTTGATTCGTATTTGTATTTGTATTCGTATTCGGACGTAGATTTTGATTTGTTCTCTCATTCATGCTATCCATTCATCCATCCATCCATCCATCCATCCATCATTTCATACTTAGGTATCTATTGATTCTATTGATTCTATCAATCTCTGGATGGATATAAACCGTTTTGTATATATTTTTGTCCACATCCATCCACCCACTACCCACACTTCCCCCTTCCTCCAGCTTCTCAACAGACTTCTCCTCATCTCTTCCCTTCAGCACCGTTCAATCCGAAGTTGTAAGTTGTGAGTTGCACATTCTATTTTTTGCTTGTGTGTTTGCGAAATGAGTTATTCATATGTGAATATTTTAATACCTAGGTAGGTAGGTAGGTAGGTAGGTATATTATGTATACCCATCTATACCTATCTTTCTATACCTATCTATCTCCATCTCCATCTCCATCTATCCAGTCGTATG